GAGGTTCCCTCTGAAGTCCTCAAAAGAGAAATGACAAAAACAAGAATAATAGGTTGCGCTACATAAATAAAAAGGGATAAATATGGCAAACACTTTAAAACGTAAATGAGGAAAAATATGTAAAAAGAAAAGGGAATTTAATAAATATATATAACAAATATATATATAAAAAAGATAGTCCAAATTTTTGATATAATTTAAAAAGTTCAAATAAGTGGATGATAGTGACAGTACTTGGTATATTTCTCTTTCAGGTTCCGGTAAGTATTTGGAGGTAGAAAGTCCAATAAGAGATTGAATCTTCTAATCTTTAGAGGAGTCTTGATTCAGAGATGAACATGGAAAATATAAGCAACAAAGACGATCCAATAGTGTAGACTGTCTGTGATAAAAATAATAATAATAGGTAGGTAGTACACTCACCTATCTTAGAGCATGAACTTGCTCTAGTATGTTGGGCGTTCAGTGGCGTTTATCCCCCACTGGTAGGATATAGGTGAAGGTAATTCCTCGGTAATAAAAAGGAGATAAAAGCAGAATATAGTGCTCACTGAATCAAAATGAAATAAAGTGAAATAAAAGGAATAAAAATACTCACATTCGAATGAGCAGGATAAACTGCTCAGTATATTCGCATAGGTGGTACAATCCCCACCAAGGATTCTTGGTCGTGGGTAGATTCCAAGTTGGTGAATGACCAGGTGACAGGAAATATTTTTAAAACAAAATTTTTTAAAAATAAGATAAAAAGGTATATGGCAAAATTGATGTAAAAAAGCCACTATTCCTTTATTAGTACAATAAAAAATATATAAAATAGCCAAAACGCGTTTCGCCACACAGGGCTTTATCAACTGGCAATAATAAAAATCAGCCTGGTACATAGATTTTTTAGACTTAAATATTTTTATTCAAGATGGACGTATTCAAACTAAGACCTTTTTTAAAGAAGTTTGCACTAATACGATTATCGACCAAACTAGTTGCCATCATAGACCGTGGTTGGATGGTATCCCCAAAAGCCAATTCCTCCGTCTTCATCGAAATTGTTCCTTAACAGTTGATTTTAATGCCCAATCTACCTCATTGAAAAATATGTTTTTAGACAAAAATTATGAGGCAGACAAGTTAAATACAGCCTTACAGACAGTTAAAACGAAACAAAGAAAGGAGCTTCTTGAATATAAAGTGAAAAAAGTAGATCCTCCTCAATTACCCATTATTTTGGATTTTAACAATAAAAATAAAACTTTAAAAAAAATTCTAAATAAACATTGGCATATCCTTAAACAAGACGACCTTTTAAAAGACTACATCCCAGAGAGACCCAATGTTGTGTTTAGAGGGGCCCCCAATTTCAGAACCATCCTCACAAAAAACTACACAAGAGAGAATGTACAACAAAATAAAACTTTTCTATCTAGACCAAAAGGTTGCTTTAAGTGTAACAAATGTATTGTGTGTAGAACAACTAAAGGAATTACAAATTCTAAAACTATCCATTTTGCTTCTAATATTACTAAAACCTCCTACACCATTAAAGAATATATAGGTTGTAATACCAAAAATGTGATATATTTATTGGAATGTCCATGCGGGCTCCAATATGTGGGCATGACTAAAAGATGCCTTAAAGTGAGACTAGCAGAACATTGCCGTAACATTAGGAGAGGTTATGAGAATCACTCAGTTTCCAAGCATTTTTTAATACATAATAAAGATCCGACACTCCTAAAAGTAACTGGTATAGAACAAGTCACTCTCCCATGGAGAGGTGGAGATATTATAAAAACTTTAGGCAAAAGAGAAATGTATTGGGTTTTTACACTTAAGACTCTTTTTCCTGAGGGCTTGAACGCTGAATTTGACCTTTTCAATTTTTTATAAAATTATTTTTATTTTTATTTTTATTTTTTATTATATATCTCACTTTTTACCCTTTATTTATTTATAAGGTTAACAATATATACCTAGCTATTTAGCTCCTAAATACACCTTTCACTTTTTTTAGTTCTATTATTCCTTTTTCTTATTCCTTCATATACTCATATTTGTTTTTATACTCATATTTGTTCTATATATTCATATTTGTTTTATTCATAATAGTTTTAATTTTGGCTGTTATGCCACTTATTTTTATTTTTTTACAAGGTGGATCACGAACGGCATTAGGCGCCGCCCCTTTTTTGTAGATGTCAGACGGAGGCGTGCCCCTAGTTGCCGGCCCCCGTCTGAACACTACACACCCCATGAGCACTCGCGGTATACACCGCCCCCACCATTGATGTCAGACGGAGGCGTGCCGTAGGCTGCCGACCTCCGTCTGAGCGGCTACACCCTATATCGATGTGTGCAATCAGTCACGTGATCGCGAAGGTCCGCGATCACGTGACCATCTATTTTTGCTTTCTCCCCTGTCACTACATTTCCCATATTGCCTCAGTGTTCACCATGTGATCGCATTAGATTGCGATCACATGATTCTTGATTCTATCTATTATTTCAACAAATAACACTCGTTTTATTATTAAATATTATGTATTACTTTACATTTTAAATTATGAATACTATGCATTTTGTATTTTTATGTATTTTTATGTTATTAATCATTTTGCTTTTTACACACTGTATGGATGACGTCATTTTGGCGCCAAAATTTGAATAAGCATGTTTTATCATAGTTTATAAAAGTATCTATGTACCAGGCTGATTTTTATTATTGCCAGTTGATAAAGCCCTGTGTGGCGAAACGCGTTTTGGCTATTTTATATATTTTTTATTGTACTAATAAAGGAATAGTGGCTTTTTTACATCAATTTTGCCATATACCTTTTTATCTTATTTTTAAAAATTTTGTTTTAAAAATATTTCCTGTCACCTGGTCATTCACCAACTTGGAATCTACCCACGACCAAGAATCCTTGGTGGGGATTGTACCACCTATGCGAATATACTGAGCAGTTTATCCTGCTCATTCGAATGTGAGTATTTTTATTCCTTTTATTTCACTTTATTTCATTTTGATTCAGTGAGCACTATATTCTGCTTTTATCTCCTTTTTATTACCGAGGAATTACCTTCACCTATATCCTACCAGTGGGGGATAAACGCCACTGAACGCCCAACATACTAGAGCAAGTTCATGCTCTAAGATAGGTGAGTGTACTACCTACCTATTATTATTATTTATCACAGACAGTCTACACTATTGGATCGTCTTTGTTGCTTATATTTTCCATGTTCATCTCTGAATCAAGACTCCTCTAAAGATTAGAAGATTCAATCTCTTATTGGACTTTCTACCTCCAAATACTTACCGGAACCTGAAAGAGAAATATACCAAGTACTGTCACTATCATCCACTCATTTGAACTTTTTAAATTATATCAAGAATTTGGACTATCTTTTTTTATATATATATTTGTTATATATATTTATTAAATCCCCTTTTCTTTATACATATTATTCCTCTTTTACGTTTTAAAGTGTTTTGCCATATTTATCCCTTTTTCATTTGATATTTACGTAGCGCAACCTATTATTCTTGTTTTTGAGTAAATAACATACATTTTTCATGTTCTATCTATATTACATTTTAGTTATTTTAAATTGTAGGTAGTAAGTAACTAACATTTCTCAGAACAGCCCCTCTCCTGAAATTGAAGTGTTCCTCTGTGTATTTGAAATGTTGGGAATTATGCTGATTAATTGTCTGAGTGACAACCACTAGAGGTGTCCTAAGGACAAATGTAAATGCTGCTCTTTCTCAGAAAAGGCAGAGTTTACAATTCAGAGACTGCAGGGCCAGACTATTTGCATCAAACACACTAAATTAGTACATCTATTACTATTCAGCTGCTGATTTGGTTAATTCTGACAGCGTGCACTGAAAAGCACTTTGAGTCCCACTGGGAGAAAGGCGCTATATTAATTGTAGTTATTATTATTATTATATTATACACACACATAAGAACCCCTATGAACACACTTGCTACATCCCCTGTACACACCAGTGGCAGATCCAGAACCTGATCTCGGGAGGGGCACTTGTAGATTATTTAAATAATCCAGACACAATAATAATAATTTAAATACAATAAATATACATAATGAGGGAGAAGAGGAACACTTCTCGATCCCTGGTGGTCCATGGGGAGTCCCTGGTGGTCGCAGTGGGGAGAGTGAACTCTAGCCCATAGCTTCAGGGCTAGAAATCACTCTTGCGAGATCCGGAGCGTTGCCGTGGTAACCGCGGCAACACTCCGTGCTCGCGAGAGAAGGACCCCGAAGAGCTGCAGGATGAGCTCCTGGGTCCTCTCTCCCGCCCTCTCTCTGATCTGCCCTACGGTCCGTGAAGGCAGGGGAGAGGGAGACCGTCGGTTTTCTCAGGGGGAGCAATTGCCCCGTTGCCCTCCCTGGATCCGCCACTGGTACATACTACGCCTCCTATACAAACATGCACTCTCACTCTCTTTGGTCCCTCAGCCACACATATTACACCACAGACACAACACAACTGAAACCGACCATCTTACACAAAACACCACACCACAATCAGCTCACTCTACGCCCACGTTAGGGGCAAATGTGTCATTAAATTTGGGTTTTTCTCATATACTTCATTTAACAAAGAATATATTTCCTTTCAAAACTTGATGAAATAATTATTATATTAAAAAATTGTGTTGAGGTGACAGTTCTCCTTTAACATTAAAACTGCTGAGTTAATAAACAAAAATCCCCTGTCACCTCACTATTTACATTTTCCTTGTTTGTTAATATTCATTCCCTCCTTCTGCCTGCAGAGGGCGTGTGTGCATTCCAGCATTCACCTGATTGGTTCGAAAGCGCGCATGCGCAATACGACGAGGTGGCGGATGAAGGTGACAATGAACCTTACCAGCCCACGCACGCGCGTTCATTCACCCCGTGGGGCCTCTGATTGGTCGAGAGGGCGCCATCGTCGGCACTCGCGGCCGGAAGTAAAAAAACAACTCTCAGCCCCTCCCACTTCGCAACTGTCACTGGCCGGGAGGTTGGAGGAGTGAGGACCGGTGTGAATGGAGGGTGAGTGCCAAGGGCGGCTCCTGTCTGTCACCGAGGGGGAATGTCCGGGAGACATGGCGGACACCCGAGTCCCTGGGGGGGAGGCAGACAGTGCGGGGCAGAGAGCACATATATCACTGGGTGACCTGTCACACACCCGGGAAATCCTGAATGTAGGGTGAGCTGCACCTGTACACCCAGTGTAATAACTAATAACACACCCCGTGTAATAACTAATAATACACCCCGTGTAATAACTAATAACACACACCCCCGTGTAATAACTAATAACACACCCCCGTGTAATAACTAATAACACACCCCGTGTAATAACTAATAACACACACCCAGTGTAATAACTAATAATACACCCCGTGTAATAACTAATAACACACCCCGTGTAATAACTAATAACACACACCCAGTAATAACTAATAACACACCCCGTGTAATAACTAATAACACAACCCAGTGTAATAACTAATAACACACCCAGTGTAATAACTAATAACACACCCGTGTGACCCGTGTAATAACTAATAACACACACCCACCCGTGTAATAACTAATAACACAACCCGTGTAATAACTAATAACACACCCAGTGTAATAACTAATAACACACCCCGTGTAATAACTAATAACACCCCCCCGTGTAATAACTAATAACACACCCAGTGTAATAACTAATAACACACCCAGTGTAATAACTAATAACACACCCAGTGTGACCCGTGTAATAACTGCTAACACACCCTGTGTGACCCGTGTAATAACTAATAACACACCCAGTGTGACCCGTGTAATAACTGCTAACACACCCTGTGTGACCCGTGTAATAACTAACACACCCTGTGTGACCCGTGTAATAGTGTGACCCGTGTAATAACTAATAATACACCCAGTGTGACCCGTGTAATAACTAATAATACACCCAGTGTGACCCGTGTAATAACTAATAATACACCCAGTGTGACCCGTGTAATAACTGCTAACACACCCTGTGTGACCCGTGTAATAACTAATACACCCAGTGTGACCCGTGTAATAACTAATAACACACCCAGTGTGACCCGTGTAATAACTAGTAACACACCCAGTGTGACCCGTGTAATAACTAGTAACACACCCAGTGTGACCCGTGTAATAACTAGTAACACACCCAGTGTGACCCGTGTAATAACTAGTAACACACCCAGTGTGACCCGTGTAATAACTAATAATACACCCAGTGTGACCCGTGTAATAACTAATAACACACCCAGTGTGACCCGTGTAATAACTAATAATACACCCAGTGTGACCCGTGTAATAACTAATAATACACCCAGTGTGACCCGTGTAATAACTAATAATACACCCAGTGTGACCCGTGTAATAACTAATACACCCAGTGTGACCCGTGTAATAACTAATAATACACCCAGTGTGACCCGTGTAATAACTGCTAACACACCCTGTGTGACCCGTGTAATAACTAATACACCCAGTGTGACCCGTGTAATAACTAATAACACACCCAGTGTGACCCGTGTAATAACTAGTAACACACCCAGTGTGACCCGTGTAATAACTAGTAACACACCCAGTGTGACCCGTGTAATAACTAATAACACACCCAGTGTGACCCGTGTAATAACTAATAATACACCCAGTGTGACCCGTGTAATAACTGCTAACACACCCTGTGTGACCCGTGTAATAACTAATAATACACCCAGTGTGACCCGTGTAATAACTAATAATACACCCAGTGTGACCCGTGTAATAACTAGTAACACACCCAGTGTGACCCGTGTAATAACTAGTAACACACCCAGTGTGACCCGTGTAATAACTAGTAACACACCCAGTGTGACCCGTGTAATAACTAATAACACACCCAGTGTGACCCGTGTAATAACTAGTAACACACCCAGTGTGACCCGTGTAATAACTAATAACACACCCAGTGTGACCCGTGTAATAACTAATAATACACCCAGTGTGACCCGTGTAATAACTAATAATACACCCAGTGTGACCCGTGTAATAACTGCTAACACACCCTGTGTGACCCGTGTAATAACTAATAATACACCCAGTGTGACCCGTGTAATAACTAATAATACACCCAGTGTGACCCGTGTAATAACTAGTAACACACCCAGTGTGACCCGTGTAATAACTAGTAACACACCCAGTGTGACCCGTGTAATAACTAGTAACACACCCAGTGTGACCCGTGTAATAACTAGTAACACACCCAGTGTGACCCGTGTAATAACTAGTAACACACCCAGTGTGACCCGTGTAATAACTAGTAACACACCCAGTGTGACCCGTGTAATAACTAGTAACACACCCAGTGTGACCCGTGTAATAACTAGTAACACACCCTGTGTGACCCGTGTAATAACTAGTAACACACCCTGTGTGACCCGTGTAATAACTAGTAACACACCCTGTGTGACCCGTGTAATAACTAGTAACACACCCTGTGTGACCCGTGTAATAACTGCTAACACCCCCACACACACACCCAGTGTGACCCGTGTGATAACTAACAACACACCCAGTGTGACCTGTGTAATAACTGCTAACACCCCCCCCCATGTGATAACTGCCAACACACCCAGCAATATACCGAGCACTAAAATTTTGAGCCTTCATATTTTTCAGGAAATAGTAATTGTAAGGATTAAGTGTAAGCTCTTTTGGTGGGCCAGTTAGCTCTACACAAATGTCAGGATTTGCTTATCCCTTTCCATACTATTTAAAACCTCTCTTTGAGGGCCTTGATATAGATTTTTTCGTAATGCAAAGTCGATATATTCATAGTCAAAAATATCTAAAGTTTTAGAATAATAGGGTTATTCGCTAAACTATGAATTACAGCACATTAAAATACAACTGGCAAAATTAAAGGAACACTATAGTCACCTAAATTACCTTAGCTAAATAAAGCAGTTTTAGTGTATAGATCATTCCCCTGCAGTTTCACTGCTCAATTCAGTCATTTAGGAGTTAAATCACTTTGTTTCTGTTTATGCAGCCCTAGCCACACCTCCCCTGGCTATGATTTACAGAGCCTGCATGAAAAAAAAAAAACTGGTTTCACTTTCAAACAGATGTAATTTACCTTTAAATAATTGTATCTCAATCTCTAAAGTGAACTTTAATCACATACAGGAGGCTCTTGCAGTGTCTAGCAAGCTATTAACATAGCAGGGGATAAGAAAATCTTAATTAAACAGAACTTGCAATAAAGAAAGCCTAAATAGGGCTCTCTTTACAGGAAGTGTTTATGGAAGGCTGTGCAAGTCACATGCAGGAGGTGTGACTAGGGTTCATAAACAAAGGGATTTAACTCCTAAATGGCAGAGGATTGAGCAGTGAGGCTGCAGGGGCATGTTCTATACACCAAAACTGCTTCGTTAAGCTAAAGTTGTTCAGGTGACTATAGTGTCCATTTAAGGCCAAAAGAGCCAAGCTGTTTTAATAGCTGAGTTAGAGAAGGTTCCCAGAATAACTATTTTTGCCATTTGGGTTCTTGTTTGCTAAAATTCGAAGTAAAGTGAAAGTTTCTGTATATATTTTCAGTTTAAAAAAATAAAAACCTCTGTTTATACTGTTGAGGGAGTTGTGCTTTGGTGAACGTTGTTTATGCAGTTTCTGCATAAAGTGTACGTCTCTATTTTGCCTTAGGTGCATTTAGTGGAAATGTCAGTACTTTGCTGTTTGAACAAGAAAAGTTATCTTTATGTTGTGCTTTTTCGTGCATGTGCAGATACAACACTTTCTAAGCATGTGAATAAGTATGGCTGGATAGTGACATTTCCTGCATCTGGCAATGCTGCTTAGATACGTTTTAAATACATACTCTGTTTACTCTTTGCCCCCTCTTCAATAGTGTTTACTTGGGTGGAAACTTGGGGAACTCCAAGCATGTTATCTACTACAGCTTGCTGTAGTAGTTATGGTGGCAAGAATGCCCTGGTGCTCCCCTCATATACAGTACATGACAGCTTTAAAACGGTTTGATTTATTGCCTGGACACTGCCAGCAATCAACTGACTCTGCCACTGAGCTGACACGGTATTGAAGTACTTGGCTCAGATAAGCTGACAAAAGCTCTCCAGGGGCTTACAGAGAGGCAGGGAGTGGCACTTGGCAAATCCCAGGAAAGTAGTCAAACCGTTCTAAAACAAGAGGGGTTGCCAAAGTACCATAATCAACACACCACATTGTAATGGTTATGGTGCTTAGAATGTTCCTTAAAAAAACCAAATCTTTTATAGACACAGAAATCTATATTTACAGATAAATCTTGGATGTGCAGATGTGTATTTCATTACCGTACCTTGTGATCTACTTTCTGGCTGCAAATCTTTACAGAACAAGCATTTTTGTAGTAGTATTTCAGCATTTGCATTATGACTGTGGATGAAGATGATCTCTTCTTGGAAGTTATCTTTACAGCGATCATGATATGATTTACAATAAACTATGATATTTCTATTCCTGGAGAATAGTACATAATTGTTAAAGAATTTTGTCCCATTCTTCTTTACAACGTTGCTTCAGTTCATTGAGGCTTGCTGGCGTTTGTTTATGCACCGCTCTCTTAAGGTCCCGCCATAGCATTTCAATCTTGTTGAGGTATGGACTTTGAACCCCACACACACCCGGTTTATAGGCATTTTAAAGTAGAGTCATTTTCTTTACTTTGGAAAGGTGCCTTTTCTCTAAAAATTGATTTTTTTTTTTCCTAACTTGGTTATATACTTGTATTTTAGATGTCCAGCCCTTCTGGCCAAGACAGATTGCCAGACAAAGAGGAAGAGTCCCAATAAGCAGACCATAAACCTAAAGCCACATCAAATCTAAACAACTTGTTAGCACAGAATGTCCTATATAATAATGGAATGTCTAATCCATTTGACATTTCCAGAGTTGTGTATAGATGTAAATAAACCGGATATTCAATATTGGCTTATAGGAACACTCCACTGCCCAAATGAAGAAAAGAAAATCACTGTTTCGTAGATATATTTTTCATGCTTGGATTCATTGGGTATATAATTTAAAGGAGCTTGCAAAGGCTGTGGTCTTAGCAAGCCCTCCTCTTTTTTTCCTCAAAGACTTTGTCTCTTCACAGGGAAATAACCATTCTCAATGAGAATGCACCTACAGTGTGTTGTAGTGGTTATGGTGTTTGCAGTGTTCCTTTTGAGAACCCTTAAATATTATAAATGTTTATATTTTTTTTGTTTTTATATTTTATTTCGATAATGCTGAAATAGATATGTATTCTTCTCTCAGGGCTCTACAAATCCTAGGTCGCCTGTCTGTGATATGTCGGCGTGAGAGAGCAGAGGCGGTCAGCCGGCCGGACACTATGGGAGAGCAGAGGCATGTGGAATGTAGCTGGGCGGCATGGGAGAAAGCGGTCATTTACCTGCTCTGCTCCCTCGCATGCCCTGCAGGGATCCAAGGAGTCGGAATATGGAGTTATTCTGGCTCCGGCATACTAAACAGTGCGCAACTGGGAGCAGAGCAGGGAGATGACAGCAGTCCCACTGGACCCCAGGGAAAGCCTATCCAGTCCAGCTGAAATTTCAATCAAAATAATTTTAAAAATTCAACTTGTAAGTGTGTAAGTGTGTGTCTGTCTATGTGTGGGTAAGTCTGTGTCTGTGTAAGTGTGTGTCTGTCTATGTGTGGGTAAGTCTGTGTGTGTGTGTGTGTGTATGTATGTATGCTGTATATCTATCTATCTATCTCTATCGTAGTAGCTTGCACTCCAAGAAGACTTTTGTAGTGCCTGGTGCTGAATGTGGCAAAGGTAGATATGGGTGTAGAAACAATCGCACTCCTGGGACTTGGTGAAAGTAGTAAAATTTAGCTTTTATTTATTCCATATAAAATATCAGTGTTTCAGTTCCAACATGGAGCTTTCATGTTACCTGTCCTGATGAAAGCTCCATGTTGGAGCTGAAACAAATAAATGTGTGTCTGTTTACTTGACCAGTATCCTTCTGATTGCATGCAAAAGGTGACATTACCCACCTTTTTCCCCACACAGTGGCTGGGTCCATGGCTGAGACAATTAATCTTGATCATCTCGGCAAACCCCCAAAGCTTTCCCATAGGAAATCCATGCATCTCTATGGGAAACATTCAGTGCCTCTATGCAAAGCATGGTTTTAGTGACGGCCATGAGAGGTGTTACTAAGCAGCAATGTAAACACTGTCTTTTTTTCTCTGAAAAGGCAGTATTTATATTGAAAAGCCTGAAGGAACAGGCTATAGACCCCAGAACTAATACATTAAAAGATCACTATAGTGTCAGGAAAACAAAGCGGTTTTCCTGATACTATAGTGCCCTGAGGGTGTCCACATCCTCAGGGTCCCCCTCCCGTAGCGATGAAGGGGTTAAAACCCCTTCAGCCACTTACCTTTATCCAGCGCCGGGCTCCCTCGGCGCTGGTGACCTCTCCTGCCCCGCCGACGTCAGTTCCCCCGTCCAACGGCAGTGGAGCCGCATGCGCGGCAAGTGCCGCACGCGCATTCAAGCTGTCAATAGGAAAGCAGATGCGCCTCTAGTGGCTGTCCGGAAGACAGCCCCTAGATTCTGGATTAACCCCAAATGTAAACATAGCAGTTTCTCTGAAACTGCTTTGTTTGCATCTGAAGGGTTAAAACCTGAGGGACCTGGCACCCAGACCACTCCATTGAGCCGAAGTGGTCTGGGTGACTGACTCCTAACTTTTTTAGCTGGCTCCTAGATTTCAGGCAAATTTGACAAGCCCTGTCTTATTTTGTTTGACTAACATGATCATGGAAAAATTGTGAATGTTTGTGTTTGTCTTTAACTGTTATGTTATGTAAAACACTCTTAACAGTAAATGTTATTAAAAAATAATGGAAAATGAAAAAAGATTTCTCACAAATGAAAAGGTGCCTGAAAAAATAAGAACCTTTCTGAGATTTTTACTCTGTAAGGGGTTGGCTTTTTATGACATCCTCGTCACCACGAGTACAACAGAAAATTAAAGTGTTACTCAAAGCACCAAAACAACTTTAACATAATGAAGCAATTTTGGAATATAGATCATACCCCTGCAGTGTTGCTGCTCATTTCTCTGCAGTTTAGTTATCAAATCACTTTACCAGAGCAGCTCCCAGTTACACCACCCCTGTATTTTTATTTATTTTATTTTTTTTAGAAGTAACAAATAAGAATGTATATATGTATATTATTGGGCAGACTAGATGGGCCAAATGGTTCTTATCTGCGGTTTCTTTTTATGTTTCTATATGTCACACCAAATTAAGGTCCTTTAAAAAAAAAAAAATGGCATATAATATGTGTTGGCACAATAAAAGAGAGATGGAAATTGTGAATGAACACACACATAGCAAAAATGTCAAACTTGCTTGTGTCCATGCAGTACAAAAAAAGCATTTTTTAATTTATTTTTTTGTGAGAAATGCAAAAAACAAATATGAACGTGAACTTTGGCCAGAGTTTGTGACTAAGTGGCTACTAAAAAAGACTAGACCTATTCAATTTTGAATACCCTGGGTTGTCTACTTTGGCGAATGGTATGCCATAATGGGGTTAATCTCATTCCTGGGCTGCAATACAGTCTCAAATGCACCATAACCAATCTGGCAAATTTGAATGTGCAAAAAAATGAAATGGGCAAGCTCTATATTTGACCATGTAACTTTCCAAAACTCCATAAAACCTGTACATGCAGGGTACTGTTTTACTCATGAGACCTCGCTGAACACAAATATGAGTGTTTTATAGCAGTAAAAATGTATGACAATATAATCAATGAAAGTGCATTCTTTGTGTGAAAAAGCAAAAAACTAATACGAACTGTAACTTTGGCCAGGGTTTGTGACCAAGTGGCTACTACAAATGACTGGACATATACCCCATTTTGAATACCCTGGGTTGTCTACTTTTACAAATGGTATTCCATGCTGGGGTTCATTTTCATTCCTAGACTGCCATACAGTCCCAAAGGCAGCATAGGCCCAGCAAACCAACCTGGCAAATTTCAATGTGTAAAAATGAAAAGGGGGGAAAGCCTTATATTTGACCCTGTAACTCTCCAAAACACAATAAAACCTTTACATAGATGGGTACTTTTGGACTTTATCGCAGTAAACACTAACAGTATTATGATATTAACAGTTAAAATGCCATGCAGAACTTCAAAAATAATTACTTAATTTCTCAAAGTTTTTATTTTATTCATATTAAATAATGTTTCATATCTAAATATTTGATATGCAATGAAAGCCCTGTTTCTCTTGAACAAAATGATCTATGGTTGTACTTAATAAGAAAGAGTTAAATTATGGTTGAACATATAGCGCAAATTCCAGGTTTTGTTTAAGTTTTCTTTTGATCAGAACAACGGACTCTGTCCTTAAGGGGTTAATGGGTTAAAAATTATAGAGCTATTTTGTTTAGAAAAATACATTTAAAACAATTTGTGCAACTCTCCCATTCTCTTGACTAAGGTGGTGGCCACTCAGTATAACGTTTTCCAGGAGAGAATGCTGACATTGCATGAGTTAAAGGCTCAAACAGATGTTCACAAAGTCCTGATAGCAAAAAAATAAGGTCCTGTAGAGGAATAGCCTTTCTGATGGTAGGACCTGGATTATAAGCTGCAAATTTAAAGGATCACTATAGGGTCAGGAACACAAACATGTATTCCTGGCCCTATAGTGTTAAAACCACCATCTAGCCTCTCTGGGCCCCTCATGCCTCCATAAATATAGCAAAATCTTACTGTATTCAAGCCTGAAGCTGTAACTCTGCATGCTGTTTGACTCAGAAAAACAAGCAGTCTGCTGACATCATCAGAAGTGGTAGCCTGATCCAATCACAGTGCTTCTCCATAGGAGGCAGATCAGGGGCAGAGCCAGCATGATTCAAACACAGCCCTGGCCAATTTAGCATCTCCTCATGGAGATGAATTGAATCAATGAATCTCTATGAGGAAAGTTCAGTGTCTGCATGCAGTGGGAGGAGACTTTGGATGCATTCTTGGCAGCTATGACACAGGAAGGATCTCTAACAGCCATCCAAGGAGTGGCCAGTAAAGTTATCACTGGGCTGTAATGTAAACACTGCATTTTCTCTGAAAAACAGTGTTTACAGCAAAAAGCCTGAAGGCTATGATTCTACTCAACAGAACAAATTCAATAAGCTGTAGTTGTTCTGGTGACTATAGTGTCCCTTTAAGATTGATGATGTACTGATGCACGCAATCAAACTTGCTGATTTGAGACACAAATACTGACACACACTGATTTGACACACTCACAGACACACACACACACTAACAAATTATTTGTTTAAGTCCACCCAGCCTCCCTACCTTTGGGAGAGCTGGAGTGGATCCTTTCCCTGGGGTAAAGTGGAGTTGCTTTGATCATCTTCAAGCTCTACTTACTTTGTTCCCTTGTGCGCTATAGAGTGATGCAGGGTTACGTCCCCGCTCACAATAAGAGACCCAGGTATCAATGGATACCTTGGACTCCCTTTGTCAGCTGGAGCCATTTTTAGATTTTGATAAGCCATGGTGTTTCTGGGCTGCAGGCTTGGACCCACCATGGTTTAAAAAGACTCTCTTACATGGTCTCCCTGCTTGTCCCTAAGTTCAATGTGATCACTACTGGACTTTGCCTGCTGCATAGCACCAAACACAGTGTCATTGATTGTGAAGCAGGCTCCATTAACGTAGAATATACAGCTATGAAATCAGCCAGTAGATGGGTGGGTGGTCACAGATAACTGTCCCTGATGTCAGAATTTATTTTTGAGAGGTTTCATTTAGGGTTTGATCTAGGGGTTAGGATAGGATTTATGTTGGGGTTAGTTTAGGATTAATGCTGTTTTAGGGTTAGCAATAGTGTAGGATTAAGGTAGGTGTAGGTTGCAGTTAGTGTTAGCATTGGGTAAGGGGTATGGTTGGTGTAGGTTCTATGCCATCCTTAAGGGGCCAGTCCTAAAAAATAAATTAACATTTCTTAATTTCTCACTTTTTTAGATTTTATTCATATTAAATTTGTTTCATATATAAATATTTGATGTGACATGAAAGCCCTGTTTCTCCTTAACAAAATGATATATAATATATAAATATAGTGTAGGTACACTTAAATGAAAGGGGTGAATTATGGTTGAACAGATGTGTACAATTGTCTCCCTCCTTAAGGGGTTAACGGAATAATCAAAACCATATTTTGTAACAAAAAGAAAATTATGAAAAGTTTACTGTTTTTTTTGTTTGTTTTTTCATCCCTAGTTCAAAATGTAAAAACCAATAACTCCCTCATATTGAAAGTACTCTTGATCTAAACGGCCACTCCTTTTCTTTTTTTGGGGGGTGGGGTGGGGATGGGATGTATAATGAGTCAGCATTAAATATTTAGTCGACAATAATACATTTGAAACGGGAGACCTTTCTTCAGCATCAGCCTTCACTTTATATAATCTTGAAGCTCTCTGTTTACTACTTCTTTCATGGTAAAAAAAAAGTTATCATTCACACAATCCATGTAAAGAAGTTTCAGCACTCCTGGTTCCCTTGATGAGAGCGTGTTGGCTTGTACGGTTGAAAGTGCGCTCAGGCAGACCAATCAATCATGGCACACATGATGGCACTGTGTACCCGCGGGTCATTGGCCTGGCTGTAGCCGCGGGTCATTGGCCTGGCTGTAGCCGCGGGTCATTGGCCTGGCTGTAGCCGCGGGTCATTGGCCTGGCTGTAGCCGCGGGGCATTGGCCTGGCTGTAGCCGCGGGTCATTGGCCTGGCTGTAGCCGCGGGTCATTGGCCTGGCTGTAGCCGCGGGTCATTGGCCTGGCTGTAGCCGCGGGTCATTGGCCTGGCTGTAGCCGCGGGTCATTGGCCTGGCTGTAGCCGCGGGTCTGTGTTCCTGTGTGATTCTGATTGTGTGTACCTGCGGGTCTGTGTTCGGCAATGTATGCATTCCAGCACCAACACTGCACACAAGTACACCACTGCATTCCAACGCTAACACTGCACACAAGTACACATGCCGCAGACTGTGTGAAGTAGGGATCGACCGATATTGATTTTTTTAGAGCCGAGACCGATATTCTGTGTACTTTCAGGTCGATAGCCGATAACTTACCGATATTCTGTACATTTACCATTTTTAGAAAAAAAACAATTTCTAAAGTTAAATGAACAAAATATACATGCTGTGTGTGTTTGTGTAGTGTGTATTTGTGTAGCGTGTGTAGTGTGTGTGTATAGTGAATGCAGTGTGTGGGTAGTGTACGTAAAGTGAATGCTGTATATACGAAATGCAAAGTGTGTGTGTGTATAGTGAATGCAGTATGTATATTTGCATAGTGTGTGTATATAATGCGCTGTGTGTGTGTAGTGTGCATTATATACACAGTGTTTTTGTGTAGTGTATGTGTATATAATGGAGTGTGTGTGCTTGTGTAGTTATGTAATTGAGGGGGCATTTTTTATTAAAACTTTTTTTTTTTTAATATGTAATTATTATTATTTATTTTTTAGTCCCCCCCCCCTCCCTGCTTGTTACTTGGCCAGGGGGGAATATATCATTCCCTGGTGGTCCAGTGGCATGGAAAGTACAGAGGGGGCCCGCAGGTAGCGTTTACTTACCTTCCCAGCAGCTCCTCCAGCTCTTCTGTGTAAATCTCGCGGCCAGCGTGCCGTGCGGAGCGTTGCCATGGTAACCCGTGGCAACGCTCTGGCGGCCGCGGGTCTCACGAGATTTACACAGAAGAGCTAGAGGAGCTGCTGGGAAGGTAAGTAAACGCTACCTGCGGGCACTTCCAGGTCCTCCGGGCTTGTAATGGGTCCGGCGGTCCTGTTATATATTATCGGTATCTGAAATGGCCGATACCGATATTGCCAAAAATACAGAGTATTGACCGATAATCGGTCGATCCCTCGTGTGAAGGAGGCGGGGCTATTAATCATGTCATATACCTGCTCCCTGTATCCCTCACAGCGCGGCGTTTATGGTTAATCCATAGCTCCTCCAGCTCTTCTGTGTAAATCTCGCGGCCAGCGTGCCGTGCGGAGCGTTGCCATGGTAACCCGTGGCAACGCTCTGGCGGCCGCGGGTCTCGCGAGATTTACACAGAAGAGCTAGAGGAGCTGCTGGGAAGGTAAGTAAACGCTACCTGCGGGCACTTCCAGGACCTCCGGGCTTATAATGGGTCCGGCGGTCCTGTTATATATTATCGGTATCTGAAATGGCCGATACCGATATTGCCAAAAATACAGAGTATTGACCGATAATCGGTCGATCCCTAGTGTGAAGGAGGCGGGGCTATTAATCATGTCATATACCTGCTCCCTGTATCCCTCACAGCGCGGCGTTTATGGTTAATCCATAGTTGGTTTTTACTGCTATGAATGTCTATTTTTTTGGAACTTATTTATTTCCCTTTATAGTTTATAGGAAAGTTTTTATTTAAACTTCAACCCTTTTTCTGTAATTAGGATGCGCTGTTTTTGTGTGGCTAATGTGGCTGCTCTAGGTTTTTAAATGTTGGCAGCTTTTTATATTTTGATAGCCATTTATTTACATTTCTCCTTTTTATCTACTGCTTTGAACTCATTGATCCATCGCACTGTCAACCTTTCAGAAAAAGTGATTTTCATTAAAGGAGTGCACAGAATATTTTTTAAATTGAGCTGTTAATATATTTTGTCTTTATTTTTGCAGGTAAACTGATACATTGCCTAGTGACAACAGGCAACTATTTAGCTTTATGATGGATTCAGATGCCCATGAGAAAAGGAAAGGCGACCTTATTCTTACTAGTCCAAAGCAAGATTTAAAGCATTGCAAAGTAAAGGTTAGCTCTGGGAAACATTATGTTTGTGGCTATTGTGCAGCATTCACAAACATAGTAATTACCTTTCCAATACAAAAAGTACTCTTCCGACAGCAGCTATATGGACTGAGAACCAGAGATGCAGTTCTACAGATCCAAAAGGATGGGATTCGGAACTTATACCGTGGAATACTCCCTCCTCTCATGCAGAAAACTACAACTCTTGCGTTAATGTTTGGCCTTTATGAGGATTTCTCAAGTCTTCTGCTAATGCACACCAATTCCCCTGAGCTTGTTACACGAAGTGTAGCAGCAATCCTTGCAGGAACCACTGAAGCCCTTCTCACACCTTTTGAGAGAGTGCAAACCCTACTGCAGGATTACAAGCACCATGACCGATTCACAAATACTTTCCAGGCCTTCAAAGTGCTCCGACCGTATGGCATTAGAGAATATTATCGTGGGCTCATTCCTATACTAATCAGAAATGGACCTAGTAATGCACTATTCTTTGGTCTACGTCACCCAATCAAGCAGTGCCTGCCTGAAACCAAGACATACAGCGCTAACTTAATCAATGATTTTGTTTGTGGTGGACTGCTTGGAGCCATGTTGGGATTTCTGTTTTTCCCTGTTAATGTGGTTAAAGCGCGTATGCAGTCACAAATTGGAGGCGAGTTCATATCTTTTGGAAAAGTCTTTACAACAATATGGACAGAGCGTAATGGGAAACTGACTCATCTTTTTCGTGGTGCCCATTTGAATTATCACCGCTCTATTTTATCCTGGGGGATTATAAATGCAACATACGAGCTTCTGTTGAAACTCTTCTGAGCAGGACAGGGATTTCCTAGCAAATTATGCTGCCAGTTTGTTCATTTTTTTTTGTAGTGAAGGGATCAAAGTTTTTTTTTTTTTTTTCATTTTTAGTGTAAAGTGCTCACCATTCGGTCTATTTATTTTCAGGTGTTTTTTATGTGCAGGTTAATGGTGCCAATATATAAAATTACAAATGTTTTTGTATGAGTTTTTCTTGAAATGCTTTACTCTTTAAATGTTAAGTAGAACTGTTTAAGAGCAGCCTATGTGCAAAATAGGATTATACAGTTTTAGTAAACACAAGCATTTTAGTTTATAATTTAGCTCTACTATAAAAAAAAGCAAAGCAGCAGTGCCATTATATCTTTAAGAGACAGACAAGGTTTATTCTATACAAAACAAATTTCTAAGATCTTATTCTTATTTCCTTTTCCCATTGTCTTTACATAAGCAATAACATGCTAAATCCAGCCACAAATGAGAAATGTATTGAGAGCTCAATATAAGTCTTAATACATAACCCAATACATTGTCCCATGATGGTTAAGTAAGAAGCACTCCTTATTCCTTGTTCCTTGTAAAATGAGAAGATACTGTACTTTACTCATGCCTTTAACTGGATTGCTTTCCATTTGTCAAACACCACTCCATATTTGCTATAAAACGGGTATAAAGTATAACTGTTGTATTGGCATGACCACTTTATTTTATTGCATCCACGTCCCATGTGCAAATTACTTTTTTTTTCTTTTTTTTTCTGTCAGAGTAAGGAAGCCAACTAAAAATAATAATAATTTATTTGGTTTATATTTCGCAATAAAGTGCATTACTGTGCTTCCTTCGTCTGACAATATTTTCAGAATTGTAAGATAAGCTATTTAAAAGTGGCTGACTTTGCATCATATGAACACGACAAATTAACTTTGCCCTTGTTTTCAGCTGACCCTGCTGCTTTTTTTTTCTTCAATGTGGGGAAACTAGTTTCCTGGCACCTGTGCTAAATATTCAGTTTATTTAAACCCAGTCCTTGCACTATCTTCGAAGCAGGTACAGTGAATAGAATAATGCACATTTTAAACCATCACTTTTTTTTGGAGCATAGAAGGAACGTCACAGTGTTATTTTTTTGTTTTTTTTTTGTTATTTAATACATATATATAAAACGTTCAAGTTACTACTCTGAGAGTAATTCCTATATACAGTCCTTTATCTATCCAGGAACATAATGCCAAAAGGGGGTTAAAAAAAAAAAACTACAACCAAAACACTACATTAAATGTAACATATTAAACTTTTAGTATTCAATTAGTTAAACTTTGGGTATATTGTCTGCTGTAATCATTCAATGTCTGATTGTCAAATGGGTACCATAGCCAGATTTTTATAGTTATCATTAAAAATAATGTTTTGCATAATCTAAACTTAATTAGGATTAGATTTGTAAAGTAAGATCAGACTATTTGCTTTCTAAAGTGTTTCTATTTGTGTTACAACAGTGCAACTTGTAAGATGCCTTTGCCATCACACTTGTTTAGCTTTTGTATAGTATACATTGATGTTTACAATATTTGCTTATTCAAATCCAACAGCTATGTTTTTAAAATACTTCTTTAGCATTCGTGTTTTTCATTACTTGTGTCTACCCTAATGTTTTAGTAAGTATAGAATACTTGTTTGCCATACAGCTTTTATTGCACCTAGTAGTTACTTTAATTTTATTGCTTATTTACTCTATACTCTTCATTGAAAAATGATTGCATGACTGACAGGTCTTTACAAGTTCAAGAAATTTCTCCTGGGTTAAATGTAATTAAAAAAAATTCAGTTTTAACTGGTGGCATGCTTATTCTTTTCAAATCCATCTCAGGCCCAGTAAAATGTTAAACGTGTAACCTAGATGGACACATTTGTCATTTTAATGTATAAAATGCCACAATTATGCTTGTCCATAAGGTAGAAAGTCTTTGTAATGGATAATTCATTGATATAATCATTTTTGATGTGTATATTCCATACTAATATTTAGGACGTTTTGTATAATATGACCGTTATCTTTGTATTTTGTTTACGAATGGGCATTATGTAAATCCTGGGCCTACAATGTAAGTTGCTGGCTCCTCAAAAAAGTTGTCCGCTGTTATAGTTCATCATAGATCCTTCCTATTTGACCTCATCTGTTTTAAAAATAATAGTAACCAGATCTTCTACCAATGAAGGTATAATTTGAAAATGTGTTGGTTGAATATCTGACACTACTTAGATATTTTTAGAGACATCACAGAGAAAGTGTTTCTCTAACAAAGTACAATATGTATTCTCTGGCTCTAGCCTGTACAGATGCTGTGGTCAATTAAAAGTTCATACTCTCCAAATTCTTTAGTAATATATGTAGATATAGTTTGGTCAGAAACATCTCTGGCACCTTTGACATAAGTCTGAACTTTATGGACACGCGTTTCTTTTCAGCCTATGTAACTATACTGACTTCTGAAAAATCGGTGTGTTCAAATGTAATGGAGCAAGTAGGCGTGTAGAAGAGAACATCAAATTATGAATTAAACAAAGTAAATGCTTCCCAACAAGTTCTCTTCAGTCTGGGAATAGACTGCAAGGGTTTCTACATATGGAAATACGTCCAACCCATCTGGTATAGTAGACCACAACGAGCAAAGTTTTGCTCCACTGACATTCCATGATTACTCAGGATAGATCAGGAGATTAAGCCATGTAGAGCATTTAAAGCCTAACCAGAAGCACCAGTGGTGCTTCATGGGATGTCACAACACTGACAATTTATCTCTAAGGATGTGATGACATGCCGTGAGGAATTTGATTTTGGAATACAAAATCCAAGCTGTGAAGGACATGACGCTACTTGAGGTCATTTAGTAGGACAGGTATATAGCCATTTATTCCTAATGCTGCATCAATAAAGCAAAAATAGAAAGGCTTTAAAAGTTTGAAACCTATGTAAGAACTGAGTGGTGACCTTGCTGATCAGTTTTCTTGTAGGAATCCTGGCAAAATATATTTTATAAAAATTTTTTTTAAAAAGTTAGCTGCCATGCTAGTTTATTGGATAAACACATAAGACCAGCTAACCAAAAGCACAGCCAAGACCCTCAGTTTTATTTAAGGAGTTGCACTAATGCCCTTAATTGCTTCAATTTGAATTGTGATATTTGGACAAAAGTATGTTGTATTAAATTTTCTGATCAGTAGTAACTACCTTAGGAAGAAATACAAAGGGAAGTGTATGTAACTAGTTTATCTTTGCAGAAATGCTGTAAAAGAAGGGAAGTGTGTGTTTTTTTTTTTCCGTTTTTTTTCCAAAGGGGGGATATTGTAACATTGTTCTCAATAGTTTTACAACTTCAAGAAGGTTTATACCTTGGCAAAAGACCAGAAACATGTATCAAAACTTTGACATTAGTTTAAATGACAACTCCCACATGTTACAGAATTTGCTATTTAAAGGTACTGGAAGGTAACCCCCTTTTGCACATTTTATCTTTAATAAATTCCCAGATCTTGCAAATCCAAAAGAATAAAAGAAGGTAGATCTGTTCGAGAAGTGAAATATTGCAGTAACAGGTTGGATACATACTTTAATGGTTGTGGACTGTCTTGTGTCAGGAAGACTTGGAGACATGATGAAGATTCATACTGGCAATTAGGTCATGAGAGGACTTGGCTACTTGTCTTATTGTGACTTTAAGCGAACCTTCCTTTAGTTGCACAATACTCCTAAACAGGGTGATCAAGAAATACCTTCATTGGGATCTGTGTACTCAGATCTCTCCATTCAGTAATCCGGGGCCTGGTGTGTGTGCAATATATGGAACGCTTATGGTCCGATGGATTGGAAAACACTTGGAAGTATACCTTTCATGTCTGTGGAGCTTGCTATTGTACAGAGAGACTTTAGATGACGTAACAGGTTTTTTTTTTTTTTGGCGTTATTAAATTGAAAACAAAGTAACCACTAAAAAAACTTGTTCAGATTTCAGTTTTCTGTTTGATTGCATTCACTGAACATAAACTGACATAGAGGTGTTAAGCACTGCAGCTTTGTGGATGGGAAGAACAAGCCCTAGACTGGGCCACTGGTGAACTTAATGCTTAAAGGAACACTATAGCGTTGGGAAAACAAGTGTATGCCTTACGCTAAAGTGTCCTAGTCACTATTTGTGATCATTGCCCCCAGTACAGTAATGGTGAAAAAAATTAACTTGCTGTCCTTTTGTTGCATGCCGTGCTGCTCTCTGTGGTTGAACCACCTACTTCGCTGAGATCTTCATGATCTCAGCCAATCAAATGCTTTTCAACACATGTGGAGAAATGTCATCCTGTGCCATTCAGATGTTCTCTGTGAGACCATGTGAGAAGCGTCTATTTCTGCTGAAGCATCTCAAGTGACGGTAGTGACAGCGACTAGAGGCTTTTAACAATTTAGTAGATATACCTCCAAGGAAAACATGATTGCATTTAGTGCTGCATATTTTTTCTTTTACATATTACTTCAATCCAAGCCCTGTTTGTGCTGGAAAAATTCAACCTTCTTATTGAGTTGCCCAAATTCACCTGGCTAAAATGCAGGTGGTCCATGGACAGTGCTTAAGTGTGCTCATGCAAATGCCCACAGGAAGTTTTTTAATTGGAGGAGTAGGTAGGTATGCTTTAGGAGCGCATGCCTGCAACTTTTGATAGCTCTATGTAGCTAACGGAGTCAGGAAGAAAAAGGTGTTTGTAAAGTTAGTATTATACAGGACATTCCCCTGCAAATAAAGCACTTCAGCAACCTGAAGTGTTTTATGTGTGTGCTGTGTTCCTTTAATATAAGGTTACACCTATTTACCTGGCTCTGTTGGATGCAGAAATATGATTGGTGAATATTACAGGAGAAGGCAGGGGATAGAATTCAGAAATGTTAGCACTCGTACAGCTATCATCTTATTTACCTTTTCCATCACAACTGTGCATGCATGTACATCATCGAGTGTAGTACATAATGCCCATTTAACTTTAATTTTGAACAAAATACAAAGTATCCACTGCTACCCCAGCTATACTTTTGAATAATATACATAGATGTTTCCTATTTGCACTATCCCAAATATTTGTATGCACAGTGCATCATTCAGAAAAACACCTTTCAATACAGTTGTAAAAAATTCCACGTGTTTGCACTCAAAACTGAAACAGCATGACTGTGTTTGACAAGTATCACCTTCTTTATTAACTTTCAATAATAGATAAATAGCAAAATAAGTAATATTACTGACTGGGGGCGGCGTGCATGACAGACACAGGCCCATACGGCTGGAAATGTTTTGTCACTCCTGAGGAAGCGGCAGCATAGACTCACAACTCATCCAAGCCTTGCGGGCATATGTCCCTGCATGTTCTCTCCCTCCCAGTCAGTAATTGTTTATTTTTGCTGTCTGCCACTATTCTGTATTCTAATTTTGTAAGTATCTTAAATGGCAACCTACCTACTAGCTGCTATATAATGCTAGTTCCATTTTTCAAATATTGTAGTTTAGGGGGAGTCAAAGAACAGCATGCTCTTTTGAAGAAATGTGAAAAATATGCATCTATATCTGCATTAGCAATGTCTTCTAGAGTGAAGAGTATCATCATGTATAAATGGAAACTGTCATGTCTGAAGTGGTCTGGGTGCCAGGTCTCCCTCTAGTTTTAACCTTACAGCTGAAAACTTAGCAGTTTCAGAGAGGGTTAATCCGGCCTCTAGTGGCTGTCTCACTATGAAAATCACAGTGAGAAGATGCTGGACGTCCATAGGAAAGCACTGAGTAATGCTTTCATATGGGCTGTTTGCATGCGCATTTGGATCTGATGTCGGCAGGGGGTGAAGAGTTCCCCAGCACAGAGGGAGCCCGGCGCTGGAGAAAGGTAAGTGGCTGAAGGTGTTTTAACCCATTCAGCCCAGCGGGAGGGGGGCCCTGAGGGTGGGGGGGACCTAATGACACTTTAGTGGTCCTTTAACTAGACCTCCACAATCTCCTTACAAAGGAGGTTGTTACACTTTTGTAACACCCACCTCTGGTCTGTCTGCATTAGTCCTTTGCTATTTTTTTACTCCACATGCTTGGGACAGTGACCCATCAGAGTGGCGACTGATTGGTAATCGGAATTCAGGTTAAATACTCTGTAATGCTGCCAACTAAAGTTGGTTTAAAGCAACACATCTTTCCCTGTCTTGATATCTGGGTACATCTATTTTGTCTTAAATTTGTGATGTCTGCTGTTTGTCCTTCTGTGACTGTGCATTTGAAGGTTAGTGCTTGCACTTCAGAACACTGAAGTGGTCATAGTGTTTAGAGTAACCCTTTAAAGGGACACTCCAGGCACCCAGACCACTTCTGCCCATTGGAGTGGTCTAGGTGCCAACTCCCAATACCCTTAACCTTGCAAGTGTAATTATTGCAGTTTTCATAAACTGCAATATTTACCTTGCACGGTTAACTCCTGCTCTAGTGGCTGTCTACTTCTGTGTTTATAGCACATGAAAAGTGTGCTATAACGTCGCTGGACGTCCTCACACTATGTGAGGACCTCTAACGTCGCTGAAACCCCCATAGGAAAGCATTTTTCAATGCTTTCCTATGGGGAGGTCTAATGCGCATGCGCGGCATTGCTGCGCATGCGCATTAGGTCTCCCCCGCCGATGATTGTGGATGCTCAATAGGTCTCCCCCGCCGGATGAAGTCGGCCAGGGAGGACCCAGCACCGAGGGACATCGGCGCTGGATACAGGCAAGTCACTGAAGGGATTTTAACCCCTTCAGCAACTTGGAATGGGGGGTGGAAGGGAGTGGGGACCTGCAGTTCCAGGAAAATGGTTTGTTTTCCTGGCACTGTAGAGTCCCTTTAAGTTTGAGTCAGATATCACAAGGGCAGCCAAGACAGAGGTAAGCAAATCCATCAACGGCTTTTGACTAATGGATTATAGGGAAGTTACCCGAGCAACTAAAAAGGGACACTATGGGCACCCTGACCACTTCAGTCCCCTTACTCACTGAGGGGGGAGGCACTAATAGTAGTCCTTTAAGTCTCCATCCATTGATAGAGATAAGCAAACGTAGTTCCTACTTTTACCTATGTGTAAAAAAAACTTTAAAAAATTAAAAATAAAGTAGGAACAAATTGAGGGAAACACATTAATAAATAACCCATGCAAAGTGACAGTGCTATTTTACTATACACTTGCTACCATTAAGCCTAAATGTTGTGCTCTTTTTACTTTTATTGGTTATATGCTAAGTGAAAGAAAAACAAAGTTTGGAGCCAGGCTATATCTTTTCTAAATATATCTAATTCTGCCCAACTAATTTTATAATTTTGTAGGGGACTCAAGGGATGTATCCCTTTATGTATACCCCCCAATCTCTAATCTGATGTATGCATACATACATACATGAGTAATGTTTGTCATCTGGCTTATAACTTTGTCAAGCTGGGCTGGTCTAGCTTAGAATTTATTTGTTCATATATCTCCAGTACTGCTTTACTGACCATATTAATGCATAGTTTGTATAAGTGCTCTGATGACAATTTTAAAAAGTGTATTTTGAGGATGTAAATTGATTAACTTGCCAACATGCTATAGCAGACCCAGTTAATATACATCATAGCACCATAATCATATTTGTACGGACAATGTGGCTTTAACTTCTATTCTGCACTACGCGATGTGGTATAGACTACTGCAATGCAATTGATTGTTATTGTTTTGTTAAATTACATATACATCCATATTGCCATATGTCAGCTAAACAAAATTACCTATGAATGGTAAAGTTACTGATTGATTGTATTTTATGTGTTTTAAAATAAAGTATAAATGGCAAAGCACAACAATTGCACCTGTCAAAATCTGTTAACTTAAGTTTGCAAATCTAAACACAAAACTGTAAATCACTTTTAGCTCCATAGAGTAGCACTGTAAATGTACAAATTTGAGACCCTTACATTGTAATATTGTAAGCTCCTCACAGACTCTCAAAAATAGTATGGGCAGGGTTACCATCTATGGAACATTTTCTGGTTTTGGGGTACATGGCTAATGATTTGCAAGCCCTTTATCTAATAAGATTTCCACAATCTCACTGTATCAGCTGAATTGTCTGCAAGGAATTTTGTTGCAATACAGGACACTTTGTGTTTCCATTTTACTTTGTTTCATATATATGGTTACAATTTCCCTATTGCTTGATATTGCACTACTGGTCCTTTATACAGGATTCTATAGTGCTGACTTTACATTTTTACATGTTTTGAGGAGTAAAGCTTTCAAATAGCTTTTTTTTTTTTTTTTTTAATTTGCTGAGCCTAATTTTTTGAGCCTTTAGTACTTACTCTTTTCGAAGTACCTATTTTTGTGGTCTACGTGCACAGTCCTAAATTTATTTCAGCCATCCTAAAATTTCTGTGTAATTACTATATTAATGTAGTCTCAAGGAAGTTTTACCCCTGTTATCAAGTATTTATAAACATACTTCATTTTTACATTGTACATCTTAACACATAACCCTGTCTACATTGCTACAGAAACCCTAGAGTCTTTCTTTCTCGATCCTGCAAAGCATAAGAAAGTGATGAATTTGTGAGCTGGACAGAAAAATTCCACCATCTGACATGGTCTTACAGCACAGGAAAATAGAGGAGCTAGAAATGCAGCAAGCTCCAAACACATCTAGCATTTTGGAAGGTTGCACGATAGTTTGGGCATGACCTTCATGACTGGCCTTTCCCATGTGGCAAAGATTATACCACTTTACACAACTGTAAAGTTAGATATTAGGAATAAATAGTCCTTGATAGTCTTTAAATTAATCACTCTTAAGAATTAGTAGCTTGCTACATATAAAGGTTAATGAAGTATGCTCTTGATTCCTTCAGGGTCATAGCAATCTACAAAATGGAGATAGGACAGAAAGGAGATGGGCTTCAGCTCAGTATAAGGGGTTGGAGGGGGGGAGAGGGTAAGCTCAGAACAGAGATGGTATGTAATGTTGATAATTCACAAAAGGTACAAGTGACTCATGATATTAAATGTATGCTTACTAATGCAAGAAGCCTAGATAAAATGGGGGAACTAGAGGCATTAGCATACACTAAACAATATGATATAATAGGCATAACTGAAACATGGTGGGATGAGACACATGACTGGGCAGTTAACTTAAATGGGTACATGTTATTTAGGAAGGATAGGAAAAACAAGAAGGGTGGTGGGGTATGTTTGTATGTCAACCATGATTTAAAGCCAAATCTTAAGCAAGTGGAATGTGATGAGGAAAATGTGGAAGCTTTATGGGTAAATATCTGCTTGGGGGAAAAGAAGGGAAACCAACTATTGGTTGGGATATGTTATAAACCACCTAATGTTAATATTGACGAGGAACAACAGCTGTTTGAGCAAATTGAGAAAGCTGCAAATCTGGGTAACACTTTAATTATTGGAGATTTTAATTACCCAGACATAAATTGGGACAGAGGGACTAGTAGCTCAGCAAAGGGAATTAGGTTTTTAAACTTGTTAAATGACACCTTCATGTCACAACTTGTACAAGCACCAACTAGAATGGACGCTTGTCTGGACCTGGTTCTAACAAACAACGTTGATCTTTTGACCAACATTCAAGTAGGTGAGCACTTGGGAAATAGTGATCACAATATAGTGTCCTTTGAAATAAACTCAAAAAAACAAAAGCACATGGGGTATACTAAAACATATAATTTTAAAAAGGCCAATTTCTATAAGTTAAGGGAAGCTTTACAATATATTGACTGGCATAAACTCTTTAGTGAAAAGAACACTGAGGATAAATGGAACATCTTCCAACAAATATTAGAAAGGTACATTTCTCAGTATGTACCATTGGGTAATAAATATAAAAGAAACAAATTAAAACCAATGTGGCTTAGTAGAGAAGTAAAACAAGAGATTAAAAATAAGAAAAGGCATTTAAAGCATTTAAATCTGACAAATCAGATGCATCTTATAAAAGATATAAGGAAGCAAATAATGCGTGCAAAAAGGCAATTAGATTTGCTAAACTTCAAAATGAAAAAATGATAGCTAAAGAGAGCAAAACCAACCCCAAAGCATTTTTTAAGTACATAAATTCTAAAAAAAAAAAATGAAAGTGTAGGTACACTAAAAACTGAAACGGGGGTGTTAGTTAATGAAGACCAGGAAAAGGCAGGAATTTTAAATAACTTTCTCCTCTGTATATATTAAGGAAGAACCCATGGCAATAGATGTGCAAATGATTGCTACTAAAAACTTGCAGAATAATTGTAATTGGTTAACTCAAGACAAGGTGCTGCAGCAACTAAAGAAAGTTAATATAAACAAAGCTCCAGGGCCTGACGGTATCCATCCATGAGTACTTAAGTAACTAAGTGTAGAAATAAGTGAACCTCTGTCTTTAATCTTTCAAGATTCTTTTCTTTCAGGAAGTGTTCCAGAGGATTGGAGGAAGGCAGATGTGGTTCCTAAATTCAAAAAGGGTTCAAAATCCTTGCCTGGAAATTAGACTATTTCTGTGGCTGGGAAAATATTTGAAAGGTTAAGGGATAATATTCAAGAATTCCTTGAGAAGAACATGGTTATCAGCAACAATCAGCATGGTTTTATGAAGCACAGGTCATGTCAAACTAACTTGATTGCATTGTACGAAGAAGAATTATAGATCAGGGTGTTGCAGCGGGTGTGATCTATTTGGATTTTGCCAAGGCATTTGATACAGTTCCACACAATAGATTAGTGTTCAAACGCAAGGAAATCGGTATAGATGAAAATGCTTGTTCTTGGGTAGAACATTGGCTTAAAAATAGAGTACAAAGAGTTGTCGTTATTGGAAAATTTTCAAGCTGGACAGAGGTGTCAAGTGGTGTCCCTCAGGGGTCTGGTCTGGGACCCCTTCTAAATTATTTAACATGTTTATAAATGAAGAAAGCATTGAAAGTCATGTTTCAGTGTTTGTATTATTTTACAGAGTTTTGGGTCATCTGCAATGTGAGCAAGTTATTACTTTGCTGCAGAGGGATTTAGATAGACTGGAGGACTGGGCACTCAAATGGCAGATGAAATTTAATGTTGAAAAATGCAAAGTTATGCACTTCGGCGTAAAGAATACACAAGCAACTTATACCCTTAATGGAAGCGAATTAGGGATAACACATGAAAAGAACTTGGGAATTGTTATAGACAACAAACTATGCAACAATGTGCAATGTCAATCAGCAGTGGCCAAGGCCAGTAAGGTATTGTCATGCATGAAAAAGGGCATTCATTCTCGAGACAAGAATATAATTGTGCCTCTTTATAAATCACTGGTAAGACCACATTGAATATGCTGTGCAATTTTGGGCACCTGTTCTAAAGAAGGATATTATGGCACTAGAAAAAGTGCAGAGGCGGGCTACAAAATTAATAAAAGGAATGGAACATATCAGCTATGAAGAAAGGTTAACAAATTTAAACCTAGTTTAGAAAAACGTCACCTGAGGGGGGATATGCTATTATACAAATATATTCGGGGCCAATACAAACCATTGTGTGGAAATCTATTCACAAACCGGACTTTACATAGGACACAAGGTCATGCGTTGAGACTGGAAGAAAGAATATTTAGTCTAAGGCAAAGGAAAGGTTTTTTTACTGTAAGAACAATAAGGATGTTGAATTCTCTGCCTGAAGAAGTGGTTTTATCAGAATCCATACAGATGTTCAAACAGATACTAGATGCATACTTGCAAAAACAGAATATTCAAGGATATAATCTTTCAATGTAGGGTAATAACTGCTTGATCCAAGGATAAATCTGACTACCCTTCTGGGGTCAAGAAGGAATTGTTTCCCCTTTTGGATCAACAGCAAAAAACAAATTTGAGGAAGGCTGAACTTGATGGACGCAAGTCTCTTTTCAGCTATGTAACTATACCCATATATTGTGCAGTTGGTTAGGTCTTGTGTAAACTTTACAGTGTAAAAGTCAAGCAATGGTAAGTGCACAACTGATTATGGTCTAACATTTCACATTAGGAAGCAGTCCACAAAATAGTCACTCGTGCTCTGCAAATTTCTCATTGTTGACATTTGGATTCACAACACATACACTGAATACAGGATTGTAGATTGATGCTTTTAACACACACGCACTGTCCACCAAGAGATACAGCTCTACATACTTTTCAAATTATTGGAATTCACAGGCACTTATCACCCACACGGTTACTCAAAGCAACAGACATATCACAAGTCCAAACCAAAAGTCTGCTCACAAGCATTTTCAGTGCACAAAATAAAGTGGTATGGGCTAGTAGTATTAGTTTATATCATATAGAACTGCTTATTAGATTAGAATAAACTAGGGATTGACCAATATTGATTTTTTAGAGCCGATACCGATAATCTGAACTTTCAGGCCTATAGCCGATAATTTACCGATATTCTGTACATTTACCATTTTGAAAAAAAAATAAACTTTCTAAATTTCTTGTCATGGGCCCAGCGGTCCTGGTATGTATTATTGGCAATATCGGTATCTCTATAGGCAGATATTGATATTGCCAAAAATACAGAATATCGTCCAGACGGATAATCGGTCGATCCCTAGAATAAACCATTAAAATACATTTTAGGGGGTAGAGTACGTCACGTAGAGCTATAAAAAAAAAGAATAAACCTATATGTTTGCCTCTGATTTCTTTTTACTTCACAGTGTTCTAACATTTGAGCAGCCAATAATTATCACCTGTGACAAGTACACTTCATATACAGTTTTGTTTATATAGATGAGATCTTCCTCCGCATTCAAGCTTCAAACGTCTAAAATGAGTTAATTTCCATGTAATTCCTTATAGAATCAAACAGGAGATCCCATAGAACAGGATTGCCCAAGAGGGAGATCCCCAGATATTTTAAAACTACAAATTCCACGATGCTTAGTCATTCTACAATGAAGGCAAATCACCATGGGACATATAATTCTACAACATTTGGGGATCTACATTTTAGGTACCTCTGCCCTAAAATATGCAAAAGTACAGCAGTGATATAACTGCTCTAGAATAAAGAGGAGGGAGTTGAAGAAGCGTCCATGGGGGCCATTTTAAGGTAAGTACAATTCTGCTGCAGCAGGGCCACCACAGACTCATCATGGATCTTTGCAAAATATACTGATACCCCTAAAGATTTAAAGATGTTATACTCTTTGAAAAAGGCACTTTAAAAGAATATTACAAATCTTTAGAATATATACATTGCAAAGCAACAAACAGAACAAATAGGGCAGTGTAAAGATAGTGATCACAAATCAATCAACCAAGATCTGTGGTTTTGCTGTAATTAGCGATAGTCTTACCCAGTGACAAAAAAAAAAAAAAAAAATGCACCTTGATGTCCAAATTGTGTAACAAATTTAAGAAAAAAAAAAGGCCATATCTCTTTTTACTGCTTATAGCATCTTATTAGACACTAAAACAAGGCATATTATCTGGCTTCTATAAAATTAAATGATAAATGCCAAATATAAAGTTTGGATTAATAAAAAACAGGAATTTTATTATGTTGACTTCCCAGCCCTACACCATTATCAAATGATTTGTGGGCTTACACCCTGGTATTCTTGGATAGTGAACCCGTACTATATCTGTGTCCGTTTCCATATTTCAGTTTATTCTCCACAGTTGATATCTTACTTTCCTGTAATGTAAACAAAAGGCACAAACAGTAACTATAAATGACCAGGAAGGACATATTATATGAAGAGACCTCCAGCTTCCACACTACCGAGATCATGTACTCTGTGTGACTTTATTTAATCATATTTAATGATTATGCAATTCACTCCAATAGGTGTTAAATTATTTTGAAATATAAAGTTACAAGTACAGTGAAGTTTTGTTTCTTTTTAATGTCAAAGAACATCTTGCCTTAAAATTACAGATTTCATTTCAAATGCATTATTTTCAAGAGGGACCAAACAAATATTATACATGGTATAATCCAATCAATGAATAAAATTATATAAATGTTCTTAGTGTTTGACAGGCAATACGGCACAAAAAGTGGAGAATGGCTGGTGAATATCAAGAATACAGATATATAAAAAGGTGAAGAGGCAAGAAGGTGCACAGAACTTGCTCTGCCAAAAATCAAAGCCAAAATATAATCTGTGCCGTTATGCATCTCTGTGATGTAATCATCCAGGTTAAAAGATGCAAATCAAGACTGTGTTCGATGTACCTGATCCAATTCTGACCCTTAAAAAATTTGATGCTTTTTGCTTAAAACTTCGGCTGATACAAGGAAACGCGTCCACTAAGGCACCCTGAAGCTATCTGACAATGTGTGGGAGAGAACTTTGTTGTTAGGACCACATCTCTGTGAGAATACAGGGAGCGAATTTCCTGCAAAGTCCCAGCTTCTTTGGGTAAACAGTCTACAAGTTCATTGCACTGGGAATCAAACCCCAATAAACGAATACCATAACCATGTGGCGAGGCTATCATACGTCCATCAGGGCTGAAACACAGCTCTTTGATGTAACCCCGACCTACATTGGCCTCTTCAATGTAGTGAGTTAGTCGCAATGAGCAGCGAGGGGACACTGGTCGGACTGGAGTCCCTTCCTGGAATTCATACACACAGGTCCACTAGATAAAGAAACAAACAGAGCAAACATTAACTTTAAGCATGAAAATATTTACATTTTACAATTATTGTACTATATGAAAAGTAAATCTTGCTTTTAAAGATATTAATTCAAGAACATTCATGAATCCCTGAATAATTAGGAATTGTTAGGATGACTTCAGGATCTATTTTCCTTATTTTCAGCCAAGTTCTCATGTCACCCGTCCCAGTACTGGGTGAAACTTCTGTACTCTAAGCAGCTGGTGATCCTAACAAATTGGATCTGCCATTGTTCTAACTGGAGAGGTACCCCCCATACTTTTTGTGAATTATCGAGAATTATCACCTCTCATGTCAACAAGGCCAAACGGTGTGTTTAGTGAACAGTCCTTTGGTAATATTGTGCTGTGGCTAGCAGGTAACGTTATATCATATTGTATATAGAAATTGTTGACTATGCCATGATGGATAGATAGATAATGTAGAACAGAGGATAACAGATCTACTGTAAATACACGCTCTCATACCCGTGGGATAGTAGCATTTCAAATAGATAAGCCAATCAGCAGCAGGATTACAAAAGTAATCTTATTTGAGAAACATTTCTATTTATTATGAAAATCATATTTATGCATATGAATAGCAATCAGATAAAAAGTTATTCTGCCGAAAATATTTTGCTACACAGCCCTAGTGCCTGCAATATGCCAGCTAAACACAAGTTACGTATATAACTGGCTAATAATGGCTGCATGATCATCCACCCTATTATCATCCAGTAATTAATATTCGTAAAAGGACAGCACAATAGATGTTAATTACAATGCCCTATATACTAAAGCATCACATACAGCCAATTACTGCCTATTATGAGCAAACTTTGTGCTTTGGAACCTTTATTTCAAGTTAGGGCTACACAGGGGCTAACTCACTAAATGGCAAAGCTTAGAATATTCAAAAGGGAAGTTTAAAGACAAAAAAATATCACTGATATTTTGAATCAAACTAAAATAAACAGCAGTGCTTCCTTTCAGACAAACGGCTTTCTTGTTAAAATGTCACTCTGAGCACAAACAATACAAAGATCAGGGTTATTAGCTAAAGTGAGAATTCAAAGTGAATTCAAGTGAATTTTAAGGCCAGAGTGGCCAAGCTGAAAGCATAGATGACTGAATTTTTCCAAATTGGCTATTTTGACCTTAAATTTAAAATTCACTTTGAATTAAATCTATATTCTCACTTTAGTGAAGAATCCTGTATGGTGCATTTTCAGGGTGGCTTAGAATTGCGGTGCCTTCCAAAAATTGCTGCAGTTACAAATTATCCTCCCTGCTTCTGATGTCAGAATAAGATTTTCCAAGACCTCGATTTAATAAGCTTTCCAAATGATTTGATATGGTTTAAAAAAATAAAAATAAATAATAATTCCACATTATTTACAGAGTTCTCATTGACTTTAATAGTGATTTGTCTAGCTTAATAATTTGGAAAGCTCATTAAATCAAGGCCTAGGTTGTGTATGGTGCATGCACATAGAAATGAGACTAAGGCCGTGCATATGCACAGTCGCATCCAGATTTACAACGTGGAGCTGGGTTATGAATAAGCGGATAGCAGTCGTGATATGGTCACTATCGGCTTATTCAGCATTTCCACTTATCCTACATAATGGGTGCTAATCATGTTGGGGGATAAGCTGATAAAGAAAAGGGTTTATGGTATGAAATAAACCCCATAGACCACAATGTGTTTTTTTTTTGATGGGTAGAGATCTCCCTGCATAGTATTTTGTTTTGTTTTTTTATGTTAAATGTTATTTGCATTTTTTGGGAGCTCCAGCCACTATATATTTTTCCTTCCAGCTTCAAATTGAACTGCATAAAATCAACTTGATTAACTCCTACCTCTTGATCATCCGTGTTACTAGAGCATCGAAGCAGCGTGGCCCATCCTTTTGGGTGAAGTTGTAGTGATGTGATGCAGTTGCCCCGGTCTCGCTCTCCTGGAACGTCTGGTGTCAAGACTTCAAGACTATTACGGGGGGAGGCACCTGCCACACATTAAAAATACACAAAAATGTTCCAAGTGAATACTTAACAATACATTTGGCACTACTCCTGTTTTATGTTAGCTATAGTCCTCACTTACTGTACATGCTGTATACAAAATTGCAGTTTTTGCGGTTTGAGCTTAGAATTACTAAAAATTCCCTGCTGCAACAGCAGATTTGTGTAAATACAATACTCTGGATCTTTATTACTTTCTATTCTTTGCCAGGTCATTATTTTCAAATTACAGAAAGGTAAAAGGAATGGAAAGTGATCACAGAGATAAAAGTTCATTACTCCAGGATTTGGCATCCAGGTTTGGCAACAAAGAGAAGGTCAGAGACCTCTTAGTGGTTTCAGAGATAAGCAAACTGATCAAATTCACCCTCTAAAACAGATATTTACAATAGAGAAGATTTAGTTATAATGAAAATTGTATTTCTATTTCAAGAACTAAACATTTTTACTCTTGTGCAGGGCAAGGCTGGTGGGGTTATAAATGCTCACCCTGTGAATAAGAGGACACAAAACAAACAAAGCTTTCTCTAGAGGCCGTATTTGTGCACTCACAGATTAAGCACTGTTTGAACAGTCAAACCTAAAAACCATGGGGTGAGAGTACCTTTCTCATGCTGTTATCTCAATGGGAAGCTAGTGATAGTGCATCAGCTTGAAAAGAAAAGCTTTTGTGCACTCTCTGCACAACTTCAGGATTAAATCCAGTGGCGGAACTACCGGCGGTGCGGCTGCACCGAGGCCTGCACACTAAGGGTGCCCATTGGGTGGCCCATGCACTTAGGACAACCCAATGGACATGTATCAGCAGGGGCTCTTTTGCTGTGGCCCCTTTCTTATCAGCAGCATGGAAGGAAGTGAGAGCTGGACACTTCCAAACAAATAGCAGCGACATGGAGCCACCCAGAAGAGTGCAGGAAAAGGCAGAGATGAGCAAGTCCTTCAACCGCAAGAACGCCGTTCCCGTTAGTAGTCCTGCAGGACCTGCCTTTTGATTACATACAATGCTGCCTTTATATGCTGCCTGCCACCAGCGCCCGGTGCACAACATTCAGACTGCATCAGAAGAGCAGCGCGGGAGCAGAGTCTGTGCATCCCAGTCCTGTGCGTGGGGAAGTTGTATGGGTAAGGGGAGGTGTCAAAGAACAGAACAGGTAGTGGGGCAGAAGTGAGCACAGAGGACATAGCAAGCTGGGCATCCAGAGAAGGTAGATACTACCTGAATTTTATAACTAACCTGATCACAGCATTCCGGACAGGACACAGATCCCCATGATGTAAGTACTGCTGCTACTGCATGTGACTAGATAGAGGGAATAATGACTATGCCTCACGGGCTGGCTGACTATTTACATCAAAGATATTTAGACTTTTACAAATGTGGTTTGTGGCAAAGATAGAGTGTAAAGAGTTTAGTGTTTTGTTTATATCCTGATAAGCAGTATTCAGTTAGGAGGAAATATGAATTAAGATGTTCAGGAGGTATTAAATGATATAAATCAAGCAGGTCAAACGCAAAGTGTGGCACGGGCCACATAAACAAGGTTTAATTTTATGTGGGCCGCACACACACACACACGCTGAGACACACACACACAATGACATTCACAAACACAAATAGTTTACTTTATTGCTCCCTACCTTTTGGAGCCGATGGGGGGCATCTCCCTAGGGTCCTTTTATCTGCTTCTCACTGCTCCCGCGCGCGGTTTAGTAATGCCGGAATATGGCGTCATATTCCGGCGCCCAGCATCACTTCAGACAGCGCACACGAGGGAGCAGTGAGGCGCTGGAACACTAGGCTCCCTCGCAGCCCTCCTTCCCAGCCGGGTAAGTTTTAGCAGAGTAGGCACCTGCAATGTGGGAAAAGCAGGTGACTACTCTGCCATAACACCAGCATGCACTCGCGGCTCACCGAGCCGCAAAGATGGTCCTTGTGGGCCGCATGCGGCCCGCGAGTTTTACAGGCTTGATATACGTGATATTGCAGCTTATGGCAATATTTGGTTGAATTTATAAAGTAATATATGTTAGAGTATTTTGTGGTGGGAAATCCCCATCACCTCCCCCTTTACTGATTCTGTGATTTAAGTCAGGGATAGCTAAGAACAGGACTACAATTATGTTGTCTGTCAGTGAGTGTGTATGTTTAGGTGACCTGCCCCTCTCCAATAACAGGGAAAGGTGTTTTTACTCACCATTTTCCCACACCGTGCTGGTGACGCTGAGTATAGTATATAGACAGTATATAGACTTCAGAACAACTACATTAGGCTGTAGTGGTTCTGGTGACTATAGTGTCCCTTTAAGAACTGTATTTTTGACATTGACAAATCTGTCTCCTAACGTTTTTTTGCTGGCTCCCAGATTTCAAGCAAATTTGTCGAGCCCTGCTTTATGTGTATCTGTATCACAATGTAGTATCACTATAGTATGTGTATATGTGCAGACATAGAAGCATTCAAAATGCCAACACAAATACACCCCTGCATTCAACACTATATACAAACATTCTAGCTATTTTTAACAGATTCTAATCAGCATGCAGTAGGGATAATGACTTCCCTAATGCATTAAATGGGTGTTTGCTGTGATCTATATGCTAAGGTATATCTATACACAGCTATTAGAGTTCACTTGGATATTGATTATGTTTACAAGTTATTATCCCTAATTCATGCTCATTAGAAACTACTGTTAAAAATAGTGAGAATCCAATAGAATATTTCTCTTTTGATCATTTCTTCCATATTTACTTATTTTGTCTTTTATCTTTCCTTTTTGCTCTATTTTTTATTTTTTGTGTTGTAATGTATCCCATTTACACGAGACATTGATGGACTACAAATTCTGTGGAATACACCGCTATGAATCTTGACGAATGGATATGTACATTTAAGAAAGAACTGCCCACACACAAGATGGTTCCCTGCTCTTCAATGAGGCAAGCACGACACTAAGAGGGGCGGACCTTCAAGTATGTTGCATCTGGCACGCAACGTCACTTCCGGTTTTGGATGAAAGAGCTTTTAGAAACAGCTGCAATAATACATACCCCTGGCTACCAGTGTTTTGATTGGCCACCGAAGGAGCACAGCAACCAATCATTAAAAAAAAAGTATATGAATACAGATTTTTACAGGAAACAGACATTCCGACTGAGAAAGCTGACCGGCGAAATGCGTCTCGAAGAGAGGGGAGAGTCCACTTCATATCATATTTCTGGGACTGGTATTACTTATACAAGTTTTTATTTTGTATTTTAAAACAAAGTGTTATTTTATGCAATTACCAATCCAGTGGACTTTAACGGTTTCCTGTTCCTGTATACAAGAAGACACATACGCTCTGACACTAAGAGCCTAGTATAATTGGCTCAATTTAAAGGCGAGCAGGTCTTTGCACTGACATTTTGGATATTATTTCTACAATTTTGCACTAGGGCACTTGGTCTCCATATATCTGAGAACCATTCGGTCAAGAATGCTTTCGAGACCTGAGCCTATCCTTATAGGCTCTGTACCATGCGAGTTCGGTCTATATTTCCTGTACATCACATCTTGATTTCATTGATATACTACACTATTTTGTGTTTATTTTTTTGTTCTAGAAAATATTGTTTCTATACATCTCCTCAAGTGGGGGGAATACCGTCATCTAGACCCCCTCAGTATGGGGTAAGCGTATTTTATATATTAACGCTCCACTGTGAGAGTCTTTTTTGGTGGTGTGTTCCACCGGGTTCACTTTTCTTTGCATATCTGTGTAAATTTGGGGATATTTACATGTTTGTATTTGATGTGTACTTATTGTTAAGCGCCTTATACATTGCACAGAACACTTTCTTCTTTCACATTTCCTCAGAGGTTTTTTCACTAAACTCTGAATTGCAGTGAGGATACATTTAGGGAACAGGGTATACATTAAGTGAAAGCAGACACACACCCACAGCCCAAAATATACATCCATACACTCATTCTGCCTAAAACATACATCAATGCATTTAGTGGGATTTAATTTATAATAATGGTGGTATTTAATTTACATTACAGTGAACTTTAAGTTAAAAATAGTTTTTGTTGGTTTAAAATGGAATTGGATTAATATACTATAATTCTAATTTAGTATATAAGGATCTCTTCATATGGTCACACAAACACAGTGTCACTTACACACACACTAACTGATATACACATTATCATTTACACACTCACTAACACACTTACACTCATGCATAGTCACTCACACACTCCCTAACACACACACTCTGACATACACACAGTTTCACTTAAACACTCTCAATAACACACACACACACTGACATACACAGTGCCACTAACACACACACTGTCACTCAAACACAAACTCACACCACTTTACAGAAGTCACACTTTATTCACAGACATAGTAATTTAACACACCCCCAATGCACAGGATAGCCAGTCTCCTTTTGCCTCTTGATGTGACATACCTGTCCTATTGCTGTGAATGGAGAAGTGTCTAGCTTGTAGCAATTGTGTGTGCACCAGCTGTTTCCTGTTCCCCTCAGAGTGTTTCCGGTGTTCACAGACCGGGGGCCGCTGGGATACTGAGTCAGTAACAGTGTGCTTTGCTCGGGTGCTGGGGTTATAGTAAACCCCGCTCCCTTAGCAGGTAATCGGCTGCAGAGAGGAGCCGGAGCCCCGTGCGAATACCTTATTCGCCTAATGGTAGCGGCGGCCCTGCTTACATTCAAACACAAACACTGCCCATTGCTAAATACAACCATGCAAGGATGGGAAAATGGTAGATCTGTCAAAGCAATGTGGGAGTTGTGTGACAGATGGGGGATCAACCTTTTGGCCACCTTTGCAATGGGGGGGGGGGGAGTTGTACACGCATTTTTGTACCAGAGTCCTCTCTTAGTCCCGCCACTGGTAAAAGGTTAAATACCCTAAGGTAAGATCTTGTCTTGAACGTTAAGGCACCAGAACACCTGCATTGATATGAAGTTGCCAAGGGGGCAAGTGTGTATCTTTAGGCAAGGCATACATCATTTGTCATCAATAATAGGATTGATTAAAGGGACTTGGGTGCAACTTTAATGCATTGGATTGGCCTCATTAATATGCTGTATTTGTTTGCATACTCAAATCTTTATAGTTTTTGTACAATACATATTTTGCAGAATACAGTAAACACTGTACTATAACCTGCCTAAACTAGAAAGTAATCTACGGAGGGAGAGAGGGACTTCTTTGACCTACCTTCTCTTTGTGAAGACCGTGAAGTGTGTTTCTCAAACAGTGAGCCCAAGTCACTGTTTTGACACTGGGGACCTGTTCTGGATTCAGAAGTGGGTGAAGTGGACATATCTGTAAAGAACATACTACGGTCATCAACAAAACAGTATAATGGTGTGCATCAGGTTAAATGTTATGCCGTACTGGTAATTACAGAATGCATTGTTTGTAGTGCTGCAAGAAAATAGTGGACATTTTAGTATTCTGAGAGCAAGACACTTTGTTCATTACATAAAAAAATAAATTAATATGAAAAAAAAAAAAAAAAACACTCTTGGGGTAACAGGTTTATATCACAGACCCAGCATATACACAATAGTGAATAGTGGTGAACCGACAACCTGAGTGGCAAAATTTGGACTAAAATATTCTAGATGGGATGACAAATCAGTAATGCAGGAGCCATACGTGCTAGTGAGGAAGAAAAAAAAAAAAAAAGAAAGAAAAAGAAAACCTTAAAAACAGGATTGCTGTATAAATGCATCTGTCTGGCCCGGAATGTCCTTCATCAATGCTGTATGATGGCAAGGTCACACCAGAATGAAAGGATAAAGGTTGAGGACGTTTGATATCTCTATAGCTTTTTAGAAAAAAATGGCAGTATGGACTGAAGGATCACATCAAATGGTGGGTTATGAATGTAAAATGTTCCCTTAAGTGAGAATAGCAAAACATAAAATACAGGGTTTTTTCCCCCCTATAACTGGAGAGTACTATTTTGTGCTTAGATTACTGATCCACTCCCATTTTAGCACTGAAAGGGTTTAAAAAAAAAAAAAAAAGTAAACTCCTGTAAGGTTAAACAACGGATTACTTTTCTGTTCACAGATTTAAGGTAAGCAACAGGCAGAGGCAGAAGAGCCTCCTATTTGTATGCTTGAAGGCCATGAGCAGTTCGTAAGGGGATTCATAATAGTACATTTATTCTTGTTTCTATAAACTAAGCCAGAAGGAACATGCAGTTAACCCCTAAAGCACTTTAGCAAGCTGAAGTGCTTAAAAAATTACTTCAACCAAAAAAAAAAAAAAAACACAAATTTTAGTTGTAGTAACCCTTCCTAAACCAGCAGCTAAAACACACCTAACTTTCCAATTTCAAGTCCAAGTTCTACCTCAGACCAATCTTCCTCTACTGAAATCGCTCCCCCTTGCTAGAGAGGCAGTAAAGTCTAGCAGAGCTAGCTGGAGCACATGGGGAGGGGGCACCATTGGTGCATTCTATCACATTTTTGAAGTGATACGCACTGACTGTACTGAAGGTGAAGTTACACCTCCGGCAGCAGAGGGGCTAATCTTCAAATGTTCTGAGCTTCATAGTAAAATGCCATACATACAGACTCCAGGTACCATGATAACTTCAAATCACTGAAGTAGCCCTTTAATTGGACTGGGGTGTCCATTTAAGTATATTATAAGGTCTATAATAAACTCTTTCAGTAACTCGGCCTCTCTGACTGAATAAGTATATTTTACATAGGATACATCTGGCACTCAATCTACACTGCAAATACAATAAAGCAATCTGTAATATGGCCAGTCAAAACAGAGCACATTTCATGTCCTCCCCTTACATACTGAATGTGTGCCAAGTTATTTTTGTTCGATCAAGTATGTACTACATGCATGCTTGTTAGCAAACTAGTTAAAAACCATAATTCATATTAAACATTTAACATTTAACTAATAAAAGATCAGCACATTGTTAGTTTCTCTTAAAAAAACTGAAAATCACTTGTTTCTCCATGAATAGTCAAATTAAATGGACACTATAGTCACCAGAACAACTACAGCTTATTGCATTTGTTCTGGTGAGTAGAATCGTTACCTTCAGGCTTTTTGCAGCAAACACTGTCTTTTCAGAGAAAAAGCAGTGTTTACATTACTGACCAATCCTTAGATGGCTGTTAGAGATCCTTCCTGAGTCATGGCTGCCTAAAATGCATCCAAACATTCAGTATCTCCTCCTTCTGCATGCAGACACTGAACTTTCCTCATAGAGGTTCATTGATTCAATTCATCTCTATGAGGAGATGCTGATTGGCCAGGGCTGTGTTTGAATCATGCTGGCTCTGCCCCTGACCTACCTCTTTGACAGTCTCAGCCAATCCTATGGGGAAGCACTGTGATTGGATCAGGCTACCACTTCTGCTGTTGTCAGCAGGCAGTGGGCAGATCAAAAGGAAACCGGGACAAAGTAAACAGCTCCAAACTTGAATACAAGATTTTACTATATTTAGGGAGGCAAAGGAGATCAGGGGGGGCTAGATGGTGGTTTTAACCCTATAGGGTCAGGAATACGTTTGTGTTCCTGACCCTATAGTGATCCTTTAAACTTATGCTAAAAGAATTACATAAGTGTTCTATGCTAAAGGAACACTAGAGAGTCAGGAATACAAATGTATGCCTGGCACTGTAGTGTTTAACTATTTAGGTCAGCAGCCCCCCTTCGATTGCAGAAAAAAAAGTTAATTTACTTGCTTTTTCTACCACACCACTAGTACCACCTGCAGAGCGGAGATTACCAATTTTGATGATCTCAGTTATTCCAATGCTTTCTCATAGGAAAACATTGGGAGGAAATTGCAAAAAGTGTGGCAAAATGTGTGCTGCACCAATCTGCATCTCCTCATAGAAATACTTTGAATCAATGCATCTCTATGGGGAGCATTCAGTATTTAGACGCAGAATGTAGTTGCTGCACACTGTAGTGGCTGCTTCCTGGGGCAGTGCCCCCCCCCCTCTCTGCATGCGGACACTGAACTTTCCTCATAGGGATGCATTGATTCAATACACCTTTTATGAGGAGCTGCTGATTGGTTAGGGCTGTGTTAGACTTGTGCTGGCTCTGCCCCTGATCTGCCTCCTTGACAGTCTCAGCCAGTCTTATGGGAAAGCATTGTAATTGGCTCAGAACAACACTTCTGATGATGTCAGCCAAGCAGGCAGATAAGGGGCAGAGCCAGCAGCTGCAGACTTGACTATAAGCATGATTTTACCACATTTATTGGAGTAAGGGAGGGGGGACCGGAATACATGTGTGTGTTCATGACCCTATAGTGTTCTTTTAAGAGTTCTCCTGTCTGGTAAGAAATAAATGCTATGTGACTATTTATCATAGAGGTATAAACGATGTATCAGTGAGGAAACTAAAACAAGGTATCTATAAATTGTCAGCTAATAATCCAAACCAGTTGAGTGGCTGAGATTGAGAAAGTGTCAAAAAACAAAAAAAAAAAACAAAACAAAAACAATTTGATACCTGAGCGGGGATGTACCGAAGGGCAAGCTATCGAGTCTCTGTAAGCTTTTGTCCATTTTCAGAGTTCTCATCCTTTCTTCTTTTTTGCTTTAGTGCATTAACTTGGCTCACCCCAAGTTAAAAGGGTAATCCAGACGTGGACCCAGTGCTTACTGTGCCTAGAGGGATATCAGCTACACCTCACTGACAAGGTTCAAAAGAAGGCAGAAACGATCATCTGGGGTTGCTATAACTCTCGAGCAGAGGGAACTTGCTAGCATTTGGATCTGGACTGCCCGTACGAATGGGACCAGTCTGATATGCTTCAGATATGTTCTCTATGTAATGGCACAAGTGAACAAAAACTATTTTGAGACCGGAGCGGAGATTTACTGAAGGGCAAGCTATTGAGTCTCTCTTAGCTTGTGCCCGATCTGAGTTCTCATCCTTTCTTCTTTTTTGTTTTAGTTTCTAACAGTTAGTTTTATTGGGGACGTGACCTAACACCAAAGCAAACAGTCACATGGCCTCTGAGCTCCGGAATAATAGAGGGCAAATACCAAATAATCTGGACGATCCGCACTCAAAAGAAGCCCAGGGAGACCCCAACACTTACCTCGTGGGCAGAAAGATGAAAAAACAAAAACCCAACAGACCCCGGCAGGGTATGAGCATTGGTGATCTGTGGCAGCAAGACCATGGCACCCACAAGCCCAAGATGGCGTCCCTCCACGGTGGCTGCTCAGACGGGACGTCGGATGAAGCATAGGGAGACCTCAAACCAACAGTGGTGCTGCAAACAGCAGCACGTATGGCGCCCCCACCTCCGGTGCCCGACGCTGCACCAGTGACTCTAGCAGCCATTAAGGAGCTCATGGAGGACCTCCAAAAGAAAATCTCAGCGGATGTGGCCCTGATATGGGAGGACCTGCGGGGCCTGACCGGCCACCTTGGCATAGTGGAAAGTACCACACAAGAAAACACACACAACAAATCAGAGTTGCAACAGGTGGTGAAAGAGCCCCCTCCCAAACAATAGGAAAAAACTTGGTGCTAAATAATCAATTAAAACATTGTTGCAGCAACAGTTTGCAACCGTTTGCTGCTCAAAGGACCGTTTAAAAAAAAAAAAAAAAAAAGTTTTGGTCAAATGGCAAAAATACCTAGTCGGCCTGGTTGTGCTAGTAGGATAGAATGCTAGTTAGAGCAACGATGCCCCTAACGATCCCCTCTGATGAGCTAAACAGGCGAAACGCGCGTCGGGGGCATCATTGCTCTAACTAGCATTCTATCCTAGTGTCAACCTACACTTCCACTACTGGGGCTATTATAGCCATTACATCTTATATCATGTGCATTTGTGTTGTTTTAACAATTTCAACATAGTATCTTTTTTCATTTCTTTTTTGTGATTAGGTCTTGTTTTTTCCTAGTCCATATTAGTTGGACTTTTTTATCTGACTTATTAAGTGTTAAGTCAGAAAATATGGTATTGCACTATTTAATATTTCATTCCCATTTGTACACTACACTTCAATATAGGGAGGTCGTAGCACCCTTGTTAAATCACAAGTAGGATACAGCTGTAATGGATTAAAAAATAAAAATAAAATTAGTATACTGAAATAGCCTAGATTACTCAAACATCCCCCACCATGCACCCCCACCAGTTTTCTAAAACTGTAATGTTTTAGATTGTAGGGTTAAAGAGGACAGGAACCCTGCACCCAGACCACAATGAGATGAAGTGTTCCTTTAACATAGAACACTCCTGTAATTCTTTAAGCATAAAATAAGGTTAAATGCCCAGGATAGTTCTGGTAATGTCCAACTGACTAGTCATACCAGTCCTATTTAGGACAGAGTGGTAACAAAGATCTAAAGAGTTTAATTCAATTTTTATCAAGCTTAAACCTGTAAATATTCATATTTTTGCAGTTACCTGAAGTGGATGCTGTTCTCCTTGCTCTTAATATGGGGTAGCTGCCAACTTCTAATGATTTTGTCAAATCCAAGTCATGTAAAATCAACAGATACCCAGAGGATGTAGAAATTAACATTTTAGAACAATCAGGTGTTAACCTCATTCGCATAAGGAAACGAGTATGAAAGAACTTCTTATGTGGGCAGCCATCCTCTGTACACCTGCATTGAAAGACACACATGAAACACAATAGTTAGATATTGCAAGATTTAGAGCAAATTCCTTTAATCAGGGGTTCTCAACGTTAGTCCTCAGGACCCCCTACCAGTCCAGGGTTTAGGGATTACCTGGGTGTGTCTAAGGTGTTTAGAAAAAAAAAAAAAACATACACCTTAGAGTCTAAGGTGTTTTTACCCCCCTTTTTTCTAAACACCTTAGACACACCCAGGTAATCACCAAATCCTGGACTGTTAGGGGGTCCCGAGGACTGGGTTGAGAACCCCTGCTTTAGGTCATAACAGCCCTGGCAAATCAACAAGTGACAGGTCTAAAAAGTAAAATTCTAAGCACAATATTGTGCAGAGTATGTTACAAATGTCACTGTCTCACTGTACACAGTTGCTTTGCATATAATTGCAGCATCTGCAAAAGTTTCTGCAGATATAAAAAGCACTGCACATTGTCTTCCAAAAGTCAGAAGAGGAAGTTTCACTTAATCAAATTATGAGGGTGGGGAGCATTTAATGCAAGTTCTTACCTCAACTCAGAAAGGTGGCTGCTCCAACAATGTACTGGACAGCTAGAAAAACTGTCATGCACAATTCTATTCACAAAAATGTTAACAGCCACAGTATGATTGCTAACACTCGTGAGTTAAACTGCTGCTAGAGCTAAACTTACATATATTATATATAGGCGACTAAGGCAGTCGCCTAGTGCGCCCCTTCGCCAGAAGTGCCGGCTCCCTCATGCTGCAGCCACCTGAGCGCTCTATAGAGAGCCTCAGGCGGCTGCAGCACTGCCCGGGCCGGCGGGTCTATGAGGGCGCACCGGCCCGGGGGCGCAAGATATGAGCAAACAGCAGGAGGGAAGCGCACAGCTCCCTCTTGCCAGTCTTTCAATGTAGCGTCGCTGAGCTCCAGTCCTGTCCGCGGTCCAGGAGCATCAGTTTCCTGTACCTGGCCGGACTGACCGCAAGTGCTCCCTGCCAGTCCGGCCAGGTACAGGGCCACTAAGGGAGGGGTGGGGGAGGTGAGGAGAGACCACTAAGGGAGGGAGGGGGGGTGAGGGAGAGACCACTAATGGAGGGGGAGGTGAGTAGAGACCATCAAGGGGAGGGAGAGGGGGGTGAGTGAGAGGGTGGGGTGGAGGAGAGACCACTAAGGAGGGAGGGGGGGGTGAGGAGAGACCACCAAGGGAGGGAGGGGGGGTGAGGAGAGACCACCAAGGGAGGGAGGGGGGGTGAGGAGAGACCACCAAGGGGGGGGCAGTGAGGAGAGACCACCAAGGGAGGGGGGCGGTGAGGAGAGACCACCAAGGGAGGGGGGGGCGTGAGGAGAGACCACCATGAGGGGGGTGTGGAGGGAGAGACCACTAAGGAGGGTGGGGGGTGGTGGAGGAGAGAGACCACTATGAGGGTGGGGGGTGTGTGTGAGTGAGAGACCACTAAGGGAGGGTGGGGGGTGGTGTGGAGGAGAGACCACTAAGGAGGGTGGGGGTGGTGGGAGGAGAGACCACTAAGGGGGAGTGGGGGAAGGGAGAGGCCACTAAGGGTGGCTGTAGGAGAGACAATGAGGGGGGGAGAGGAGAGACCACTAATAGAAAGGGGGTAGAGAGACCACTAAAGGGGGTGAGGAGAGCAGAGACAACTAAGGGGGAGAGGAGAAGAGTACACTAAGGGAGGTGGGGGAGGTGAGTAGAGACCACTGGGGGGGGAGGAGGTGGGGGAGAGGAGAGACCAGTAAGGGGCAGGGAAGAGCTCTATGGGGGGGAGGGACACACACCAAGGGATGGGGGGAGGGTACGAGAGAGCACTAGGAGACAGGAGGGGAGAGCACTACGGGAAAGGGGTCAGGGAGGATCACTAAGGGACAGTGGGGCAGGGGAGATCACTAAGGAACAGGAGGGGAGAGCAGTAAGGAACAAGAGGACAGAGGGGAAAGAGGAGCACAAAGGGGCTGGTAGGACTCAGCCCCTATCCTACCCCACAAACTCTCTCTTTCACACTACACACACAATGCTTCCCTATACATACTTACAGACACACAACCAGAAACACACAATACATCCCTTACACATAAACACACACTGCTTTCTATTCCCTACAAACACACACAGCATCACCTACACACTACATTCCATAAGCGCACACTTTAGATCCTCTACCCTAACACATCCCCTACACACTCCACTCCCTGTGAGCAAACTCATGGGTGGAACATGTAGGTGGACTTATGGGTGGGCCTTATGGGCATACTCACCATCAGACCCTAGGGGCCCAGACCTTGAGCTGTGCAAGGGGACCCAAAAAATGTAGCTGCTTCACGTTCCCCCAGAACATTGATTTTTGTGACCACAGTTACAAACAGCCGCCAGAGAGCCTGTTCTACACCAGACTGCAGCCAGAGCCCATCATCATCTTTATCTAGTTGTAAGTAGGCAATCTAGTATATTATTCGGGGCACTGACGTTAGTTCATATGGCAGATCATATGAGTGGGGGGCAGCAAAAATCCTTACACCGGCCCCGAGTGTTATAAACAACATCTCCCCCCCCCGCCCCCCCCTCTCAAAATATAGTAATATCTTACCTTTATCTTTATTTAGTCCGCTGCTACTGCTGGCTCTGCCCCTTATCTGCCTGCTTGACTGACATCATCAGAAGTCTTGATCAATGCCAATCACAATGCTTTCCCATAGGAGATTGGCTAAGATTGCCAAAGAGTAAGATCAGGGGCAAAGCCAGCAAAAATAAAACAGCCCTGGCTAATTAGCATCTCCTCATAGAGATGCATTGAATCAATGTATCTCTATGAGGAAAGTTCAGAGTCTCCATGCAGAGGATGGAGACCCCAGGAAGCATGTCTAGTAGCCATCTGAAGAGTGGTCCGTGGAGGTATCTCTATGCTGTAATGTAAACACTGCCTTTTCTCTGAAAAAGCCTAAAAGGGAATGATGTTACACACCAGAACAAATACAATAAGCTGTAGTTCTGCTGACTATAGTTTCCCTTTAATGAAGCAGTTTTGGTGTATAGATCATAACACCTGCAGTCAAACATTATAATTATCTGCCATTTAGGAGTTTAAAAAGTTATAAGCAGCCACTGGTTGGTCTTTGTCCAATAGATATGTCCCACCCACAACATGGCAGGTAGGGGTATTAGGGAGGGGTTATTTATAAACCATAGGACTTTTTCATTTTTGTTTCCAGCTTAATGTAGCAGCTGGCTAGTACGTGGTGGCCAATCCTCCCTCCCCCCAATATGCATTTGGTCTCTATTTGATTTACAAATTGGTGCTTTGAAAATATTCCAGATCAAATACTTTGCATAGGGTTCAGATGAGAAAAGCACAAATTCTAAACCAGACACTGAATTCTTCCAACTAATTGATATAAATTCAGTCGGGTAGACCAAATAGCGACCGGATCTGGCTTTAGTAAATATAAAATAAGCCACTCCCATTTGAAATTAGACACATTTCCAGCTGTTCATAAACAAACCCCAATATCTTAAAGGACCACTTCAGCTCAATGAAGTGGTCTGGGTGCCAGGTCCATCTAGGGTTAACCCTGCAGCTGTAAACATAACAGTTTCAGAGAAACTGCTATGTTTACATTAGGATTAATCCAGCCTCTAGTGGCTGTCTCATTGACAGCCGCTGGAGGCACTTCCGCGCTTCTCACTATGAAAAATCACAGTGAGAAGACGCTGCCGTCCATAGGAAAGCATTGAGAAATGCTTTCCTATGGACTGACTGAATGCACTCGCGGCTCTTGCCGCGCATGCGCATTCAGCGGATGAAGAGGGAGGAGAGTCCCCAGCACCGAGGGAGCCCAGTGATAGAGAAAGGTAAGCATTTAACCCCTTCCTCCCCTTTCAGCCCGGCGGGGGGACAAGGACATAAACACCCTATAGAGCCAGGAAAACAAGTTTTTTTTCCTGGCACTATAGTGGTCTTTTAAGATTATGATGCAAAAAAAAATAAAATACATTTAAAAAAAAATAAAAAATTATATATCTCTATATCTATATCTATCTCTACAGAATGCAGTGTTTAGCGAGTCTATAGGATAGTCAGATCACTCCCACATCAGTTAGTAATGCTCTAATCCAGGATCTGATCTAAAGGGACCAAATGTGTCCCATACATGTCTCTTCAGCAGAAGTTAGAGGTTTATGGGAAATGTAGTTTATCCTATACATAGTGATGATTGGAACTGCATTATAAGCAGGTGCTCTCCATTTCCATACAGCCTGGTTCACTGTTGCTCTTGGCAGAGGATTGTACCAATGATTAGTTTGTGGCTTAACTCTCTCCAGGAAGGAGAGAAAGCTGTCCCTATTGTACATACAACATGGACAAACCTGATACAAGGCAACTCATGTCTAAGTGTTCTGGATGCCCTGTTTGGGCTATCCGATCTCTATAAGGGATTCTCAGCACCATATACTTTGCAGTAATGCCCTTGTCCTACCTAGAGAACACACTACATTTCCACACATCTTTGCACCATTTTTTGTGATTGTTGACAGAAAACATTTTACAAGTAATGTAATAACAGAAGCAAGAATATATCTAAATTGTTAGTGAAGTAAACGAACTATATCCTTTGTCATTTCTGGAAAAACAAGCTTCCAGTTTTACATATAAGCTTCATATGTTGGTGCTTTATAAATAATAATAATAATAATAATAATAATAATAATATCTTTACAACTGTGATTGATGTTTGATCACCACCATGAATTAGTGCATCTGTGCAGCAACTGTAACTTTTGCATAACAACAAAAATTTAGGAATCTCTGATGGTGACAATCATTTCACCTGTGAATACTGGACTTTGAAATGAATATATAGAGACCAGTATCTCTTTTTCAAATGTATCAAGACTGAAGACCTTTAATCATAGTACTAACATTTACTAGAATCGACCGAGTCCCCTATCTCCTGTCTGTATGTGAAAGGCACGACTACTTCATAAAAACACTTCTAATCCACTGCTGATGCCCTTTCTAGTATATTAAATTTGGACTCATAAACAAAGTATTTAGTCACCTCTTTAACAAATGTAGTTGTTGGTTTTATAATAAAAAGGTAAAAGGGTACTCCAAGCATCATTACTACAGTACACTATGGTGGTTATAGTAGCAGAATAGCCCTGGCTCAATTGCAGGGTAAATAGTCAAACTATATGACATCTAACTTGGGGTACACTGGGTGCCGACCACAGCTTTCAGGAGAGACAGAAGTTTCTGTACTGAGCTTCAATTTTCTCCCATGAGCTAACGTCAGCTCTGTGCACTCAACCAGACAGCGTAGTTCAGGAATGCAGAGGGCTTGCCCGGTGTTGGTGGAAATAGTGACAAGCTATTGGCAAACGCCATGTAAATTGTCAAGTCACCAGAGCACCCCTGACACCATAACTACTACAGCACTCTGAAGTTGTTATGGTGCTTGGAGTGTTCTTATAAAAGCGGCACTCTAAGCAACATAACCACTACAACTTGGTGCGCTGAATAGTGTGAGAGCTGAATGAGTATAAATACTCCGTTTTAAATCGGTGCTCTCAATCCTATTTATTCATCCACTGTATGTTTTTTTAGATTATTTGTCATTCAGTGCTATTTCGGCCTGTTTTTTTTTTTTTTAGTTACCTCAATATATTTTTGTATATATTTTCTGTTTTCTCTAATCCTTGTAGGTCACCCTGAATCGCTTGCGGACTAGTTTGAGAAAAATTGTCCTAGACTGTGAGTCAAAAGAATAATGGTCTTCGATAAATATTTGGCAAATCCCAAACACTGAATATTAAACGTAGTAAGTATTTCCTATTGATGGATAACTCCAGCTATCAACATATTAAATGTAGGTTAGAGAAGTGGTTTCAACATATCCCCCAAGAAATACCAATGATATAGGTTTTCTTAGTATCCCCACCGAAACAGTATTGGTATGTGCTCAATTCCTAGATCGTTCCTATTTTATAGTTCAGCTGCCAGTTACTACAATGTAAAGCAGACTATAAAAAAATTTTTACAAATAAATATGGGTTAAATCCACCCTAGAGTGTTTTATTAACGTAATGATTATTTGTTACCTGTTGGTGTCCCAAATGATTACATTTCCATCAAAGCCAGAGGTTACCAGAAGTCTTGTATTTGTGTCATATTCTATGTTCTTCACCCAGCTGGTGTGGCCATGCAGGGTACACACCTTTGTGTTTAATTTTCTCAGATCCCAAAGTGCAATGGTCGTGTCATCAGAGCATGTTGCAAACAGCCTATTATCAAGAAACCTGCACATAAAAATAAACAAATACAGGTTACTAGCATTATTATCTAAATATGAGTGTGGACACTCATCTCTTATAATGATTAAGCACATTAAGTCCAATAACAAGGACAATTAACTTGATTTTGTGATGTATATAGCAAAGAATAGCTATGATGAGTGGAGCTAGTATGGTTATTACTAGTTCAGCACTGTTGATGTTTAGCTATCAATGCCAATGCTTCTCCTATTTCAATGACAATATGGATTGTTACAGAGTAAAATATACATCCAAATGTTGCATGTTCATTAAGTTTGGGGGAGTAAATGCTGTAGAAGTGTTCAAATATTGGGCAGCTCAGCACATTATTGGATTGCTTCCTTGAAAATTTGAGAAGTGGCAGTGTCATTTTTACTTTCCTTTTAGTTTTGCTTTCTTTATGCCCCCTTTATGATCATAATTACACCTCCAACCCGCCTTTATATTTATTATCTTTTCTTTCCTGTGCAGGATCTCAATATCTGGGTTCAGCCATTTTCTTCTCCTCTGCCGATGATGTTTTCCCTTTGCGGAGATTATTTTAATTGACAGATTGTGGGTAAATAGGACTGGCTTCCAACACAGAACCTAGCATAAAGGAACACAACAAACAAAACAGCTTGCAAAAACTGCTGAGCTATACAAGCCTTTTTACGGAGCCTTTTTTTATAAAGTGCCATTAAATTGAGCTTCTCCTTACCCATAAACCACTTCAGCAAGCTGAAGTGATTCCCTAAGCTACACCTATTGTCATTTGTTGTCAATTTGGCTGTTATACATAAGGAAAAGCAGATATATATCTAGACTGTGCTGTTGAATTCAGTCTGAACTCCTACAAATTTGGAATTTGCATGCCCCGCTGCGTAAGGGGAGGGTAAAAGGAGCACATATGAACTGGATCACAGCTGACCTCATCCAAATGTAACAGTTTCAAAGTTTAAGCGTACTGACTCTATGAATGATCACCGTGCATATAGACAATGGCGAAATATATGCACAAAACAGACAAAATTGGCCAAGGCCCAATATTTCTAGGAAAATCTGAACAATAACATCTCAAACCCTAAAAACTTTTGGAAAGTCATAAATAAACTACAAACTCCCCCAATCCACTCCCAACCCTCCACTGTCAAAGTGGATAACCAAACCCTGCAACTTCCCTTAGATGTAGCAAATGCCTTTAACAATTATTTTGTCGAATGCTCTACTGCCCTGATTGCCAAGCTAATAAATGACACGCATCCTGAAACTACAAATGTGGATCAGGTCCCACTAAATTTGCAAAGTCCCAATATAGACAAGTTCATTTTTAGACCTGTACCTGTTAGGGTCATTGAAAAACATCTTATTAATCTAAAACTGAAAAACCAGTCCGGACCTGATCAAATCCCAGCAATGCTGTTGAAGCTCAGTGCGCCAGCAATTGCTAAACCCGTCGCAACTCTAACGAATCCTTGGTGTCTGGATACATACCCAAACTTTGGAAGACTGTGAGAGTAGTGCCTATCCATAAAAGTGGTGACACTATTTTGGTTTCTAACTATCGCCCAATATCATTGCTCCTGGTATTGTCAAAAATCTTAGAAAAATGTGTCCATACACAACTATGTGAGTACTACCAACAATCAAACTATCTGACCCCTGATCAATTGGGCTTTCGCCAGAATCACTCCACTACAACTGCCCTCTTAAAAGTTTGCAATGACATCCAAACTGGCATGCAACAAGGAGACCGAACTGGAGCTATTTTCCTTGATTTTGCTAAGGCCTTTGACACAGTAGACCACGACATTCTATTGCACAAACTCAAAAATTCAGGTATTGGTGATTGTTCGCTAAACTGGTTTCGATCGTATGTATCGGATCGCTAGCAATATGTGTCCATTTCTGACAGCGACTCCCTCTCCCAGTCACGTGTGGTGTTCCCCAAGGTTCCATTCTCGGCCCCCTACTATTAACATTATTTATAAATGATCTGCCTAATGTCTGCAAATCCTCAAATGTACACATGTACGCAGATGACACAGTAATCTATGCGAGCAATTCCGATCTACCGCAGCTTGAGGCTGTGCTCCAAGACCAGTTTACAGAGGTAGAAAAGTGGATTGCAAAAAACAAAATCTTCCTGAACACTGACAAAACTGCCACAATGATCTTTGGAACAGTACCTAAATTACACAATTCCCACCTATCCATCAAATCAAATAGCACACTGACCGCAGTCCACTCTTTCAAATACTTGGGTATGTTGTTAGACCCCAATCTATCTTTTGGCTTGCACATAGAATAACTTGAATCTAAACTTTATCCAAAACTAGGTGCCCTGTACAGAAACAAATCCTGCCTAAGCCCTACAGTAAAGGAAAAGATTGTACTGCAAATGCTGACGCCAATCATTGATTATGGGGATGTTGTATATGCATCTGCAGCGCAATCCCACGTTAATAAACTCAACACATTGTATAACTCGTTCTGCCGATTTGTGCTACAATGTAATTACACGACCCACCATTGTGACATGCTAAAAGAACTAAACTGGCTGTCGCTGGAATCCAGACGCAAGATAAACAATCTTTTTAACACTATAGGGTCGGGAATACACATTTGTGTTCCTGACCCTGTAGCATTCCTTTAAGTAAAGTAATTTGTATTACTTACGATATAGTGTTACTTTGTTGTAATACAGTGCTGATAAATTCCTTTCCTGTGGATGGCTAGATTTTTCTTAATTAGCACGTTGGGAGGCCAGGTCCATTTCTTATTCTGTTATCCCCGCCAAAATTTTCTACTACACATTTTGTATTTTTTTCTTCTCTCCTCCTAGTCACTCTTCCATAATGTTCTTCTTTCGCCTTCTAATCTATGTGTACCATCCATTAGCCTTAGACTCCCCTTTTACTATGGGTTTTTTTTTTTACTATCATATAATAACGGTTTTCTTCTTTCTCAGCCATTATGCCATTCCCAATCTCTGCGTTTGCCCCTGCATTTTATTCTCTTTATTTCAGACTCTCTTTCTCTGGGTCTGTCTCAGTAGACAGTTTGTCTTATTTATCTCTGAATTTGTCTCTTAAATCTGTTTCACTGTGCCTTTCTTTACATGTTTTAACCCACTAACAACCCTTAAATCAGACACAAATCGTATCTATATAGGATTCTGCCCATTTCCACTTTGTGTATCTTTCTGCACCCCAATCCTATCTGTGTACTCTGTATTTGGTTCTTCTAAATAATTTCTGTGTCTCTCATTTGATTGATTAAAAAGAAGATCATACAGGGGTTATCAGAAAAACATTCAGCTGTACGTGCAAGGTGTGTTTTCTAGCCCCACAAAGTTCTACAGCTGTAGGTTTCCTGTTACGACTAGGTCCTCTTGAAACGGAGTACAAATGATTTTGCAAGAAACAAGTGTCATTTGGGAAAGGTGGGGGGTACAGATAGGCTGGTTGGAAGTTTAGTGATAGAGCCCCTTTAAACCGCACGCCGCAGTAGATGCAGGTTTGCATACACCACATTCTTGAAACCTTTGCAAATTAATAAAAAAAATAAAAATTAAAGCGGAAATATCACATTGCCATAAGTATTCAGATCCTTTGCTATTACACTTCCAAATTAACTTGGATGCATCCCATTTCTCTGGATCATCTTTGAGCTGCTTCTACAATTTGACTACCTGTTGCCAATTCAATTGATTTCGAAAGCCGCACATCTGCCTATATATGGTCTCACAGCTTTAATGAATATCAGAGGGAAAAAAAACAAGCCAAGAGTTCAAATAAACTACCTGAACAACTCAGACAGGATTGTGTCGAAACACAGATCTGAAAAAGGCTAAAAACAAAAATTTAAAAAAAAATTACAAACATAAAATATATTGGCTGCACTGAAGGTTTTGCCAAAAGCAAAATGGCTTACATTATACTTAAATGGAAGACGTTTAGAATAACCAGGATTCTTCCTAGAGCTGGTTGCCTGGTCAAACTGAGCAAGCGGAGGCAGAAAGGGGCTTTGGTGAGAGAGCTGAGCAAGAACTCGATGGTGAGGTGAAGGGAGAAATTTGCAGAAGGACAACCATCACTGCAACACTCCCTTAAGGCAGATTGGCCAGACTCAAACCTCTTCTCACTGCATAAAATGTGACTACCTGCTTTGAATTTGCAAAAAAATAAATAAAAATCACCTAAAAGACCCTTGAACTGTAAGTAACAAGATTCTCTGGTGTTTTGAAAATCGAGATAAAACGGTTTAGCCTCAATTCAAATCATGTCTGGAGGAAACTAGGCACCTGCACAATACTATCCCAACAGTGAAGCACTGTGGTGTTAGCATCATGCTTTGGTTTTTGTGTCACGTATTCATTGATGTGGGGGAGGGGGGAGAATGAAAACAATTATAGCATAAGATTAGAACATGATTTTATATAAAGAAATAAAAAAATAAAAACATTTCTGAATGGACTGTAAACTTACACAAATGCCCACTTTAGCCTGAATACCTAAGTTTTTACAATTCTTATGTGCTGCTAGACTAGACGGGTTGTATAATTACAAATGATGCTTAGGGTTAGCAAGGTATCACACATGTATAGTTATAGAACAGCCAACAAAATACTTTTTTTACATTCCACTTTTGAGATATTTCCATTTGCTGTTTTCCCTACAATACAGGAGATTAAAAAAAATAAATAAACACAGGGATTTGGCACATATTAACATTCCTGGCTCAACACCAAGCAAGGTTGACTTACCGGATATTATTTACACAGTCTTCATGGGCTTCTGAAAGGGTTTTTATATGCTTTGAAGACACTGGGTCAAATAAAAGGACTTCAGTTTGCTCGCATGCGACAGTTAGTACCGACCTAAGGAAAACACAAAGTAACCACTGTTAAGTAAATAATTATTTTACCGTTACATCTTGTCATTGCTTTTATTGTACACAATGTAATTAGAACCTTACATATTGGTTTCATTTAAGAAATAGAAGGAATATTTCAATATGGGGTTAGCAAACAGACAAGCTTAGACTCAGGGCTCAAAATGTCTACCTTAAATGGACACTAGAAGGTCAGGAAGACAAACAGGTATTCCTGACCCTATAGTGTACAAACCCCCATCTATTCCCCACCGGCCTCCCTAAATATGGTAAAATCTTACTTGTATTCAAGTCTGCAGCCTCTGATCTGCCTGCTTGGCTGACATCATCAGAAGTAGTTTTGTGAGCCAATCACAGTGCTTTCCCACAGGATTGGTTAAGCCTGTTTGAATCAATGCATCTCTATGAGAAAAGTTCAGTGTCTCCATGCAGAGGGTAGAAACAATGAATGGCAGTGCTGCACGCTGTGCTGCACTCCCCCAGGAAGCACCTATAGCAGCCATCTGAGGAGTGGCCAGTGGAGTTATCACTAGGCTGTAATGTAAACACTGCATTTTCTCTGAAAAGACAGTGTTTACTGCAAAAAGCCTGAAGGGAATGATTCTACACACCAGAACTAATACAATAAGCCATAGTTGTTCTGGTGACTATAGCATCACTTTAAATGATACAGGAGAGATACAAATGGAAATAAGTGCCCAATTTCAATTCAAAGCTATGTTCAGAACACAGCTGGAATATACTACCACTCATGAATTATTTGCAAATTCCATTTTTTTCCCAGTTACCACCAATCCCAGTCCAGAAAACTGTTGTAAACCACAGGCAGGTGAGTGACACAGAGGGGAACCTTATCAATTCTGCCCCCCCCACCCCCAATTTTTTATGCCATTTATTTAACCACCCCCGAGCTAAATATACGGCACATTCACATGTAATTCATATTCTGTGGGTTTAAAGTCAAAAGGGGCAATATAACCACCATAACCACTACAGAACAACATTCTCATACAATTAAGTCTTAACTGGGACTAAATTAATATTGCTAAAGCGGAATTGGAACTTCTGCTTTAGCAACACACAAAAGGGACCAAAGTAAGTGTCATACAACTTGAAAACTTACAGTGGAATTGAGCCACCCACCACAATACCAACAGAAGGCTGTAGGGGTAATGGTGCTTAGACTTGCATTTCAAGGGTCATCCCTTCAATTGTGTTTCAGACAAATGGTCTAACAATTTTTTTTTTTTTTTTTTTTAAAGGGACACTATAGTCACCTGAACAACTTCAGCTTAATGAGGTTGTTCAGGTGAGAACTATAGCTCCCTGCAGCCTCTCTCATGTAAACACTGTATTTTCTAAGAAAATACAATGTTTACATTGAAAGCTAGGAACACCTTCAGTTGCAGTCACTCAGAGTGAACCAGAGGGACTTCTGAGTTGATGGAGGCATAATATATCTCCATCCACTCATATCTGCTGTCAGCAGAGCACAGGGCAGCACTGTGCACAGCATCCTGTGATTCAGTGTCTCCTCCCTCTGCATGCAGACAATGAACTTTCCTCATAGAGATTCATTGATTCAATTCATCTCTATGAGGAGATGCGGATTGGCCAGGGCTGTGTTTGAATCATGCTGGCTCTGCCCCTCATCTGCCTCTTTGTCAGTCTCAGCCAATCCTATGGGAAGCACTGTGATTGGATCAGGCTACCACATGTCAGCAGACTGCTTGTTTTTCTGAGTCTAACAGCATGCAGATTTACAGCTTCAGGCTTGAATTCAGTAAGATTTTTACTATATTTATGGAGGCATGAGGGGCCCAGGGGGGCTAGATGGTGGTTTTAACACTATAGGGTCAGGAATACATGTTTGTGTTCCTGACCCTATAGTGATCCTTTAAAGATACAAAAGTGTCCCTCTTGTTTCTAAAACATTTGGTATGAATGCATTTAACTGATCATAGCTTTATTATATGCTCTACTATGAATCCTAGTTTCATGCAAATGTAGTGTACGTGGTAACTTGGTTGCTTGTCAATACTGCACAAAAGCAGTCAAGACATGAAGCTGAGAGCAGTGAATTATGGTGTGATCAAGTAAATGCTTTCATAAAAGATATTTGATACCTGATGACAGTGTGGTAATCTGTGACAAAAGCGGTTTGCAACTCCTGGATTCTGATGTGCCCTTTAACATATGTACAGACATGTCAAATGAACACATGTACACTTAGGTATTTCAGAAGTTGTGCAGCACTACTCAGGTTAATGTAATTTATATGCCATACCAAGCCTGGCATGCCACGTAAATAAAAATTAAAAATACTAAGAATTTTTATGAAATAGAATTTTAACAACAACAACAACAACCCATTGCTTACTTTAGTTCGCTACTGGGCTGTGCAAAAATATCTGTAGCAGTTAAATTTGACTGATTTAGTTTTAGTTTTTCTAAACGCTAAAATAGCAAGCAGTCTGATTGTGGGCTACAACAGCAGTTCCCATCCATTTTTGGACCAAGGTAAAACTAAATTGAAGAAAAAAAAAAAAAAAAACCAAGCACACCTAATTTTCTTTTGGATTTTATCTACCATATCAGTTGCATTTACTAGAGATATCTAGACTTAGCTTCAAATCAACTCCCAGAGGAGAATCCCTATTTTAAATGTTGACACTTATTGAGCAAAATAAACATTTTAAGGATGCCCTTGCCCCCAAACTGATGTGGCTCCAGGCACAGCTCACCAGTATAAACAGCATGCCACGTAAGAAATATACAGTCTGCTTACTGTGGCCCCCTCTGTCCAGCACATATCTAATGTGGTCTCTTCTATAAGAGAGAACTATAGAGCCCAGCTTACATTCTCCCTGTAGATAATGCACAGCAGGGGTCAGAGAGGGCGAGACATGTTAATATTTATACCTTACCCATCTGGGGAGTATTCCAGGTTAAATACCGCCCCGTGGGTCCTGGTGCTGAGGTTCACGGAGTCCGCCGGGTGGATGGAGCTGTACAGGCTGGTCATTGTCCTGTAATTGTCCCTTGCGGGGTCCACACAAAGCCCCCTGCCCAGACAGCGCTTGTTCAGCCACCAGAACAGGTTCGCTCCCGAGGCGGACCCGCTGGCAGACGTGGCATGCTCGTCCCTGGCGGAGCTCTCCGGCTCTGGAGGCTGGCTCGGATCCGCGGGGGCGGGGCTTGCCGGGTCTCCCGGTTTCATTGTCTCGGAATCAGCCGCATCCCCCGTGCTATCATCACTCGACCTAGCGCCCCCGCTCTGCTGCTCCTCGCGTCTCTCTTCGTCTCCCTCCGGCCGCGGGAGGCTCATGGTGCCCCGGGGACACACAGTCCCGGTTTTCTCGGGGCAATCCCCCGGTGGTTTCACCCGCTGTACTGCCTTCCCAGAGCCCCGACGTTGATCTCGATCTGCAGAGGCTTTAAATTGCCGCGCATGCGCAGAACTACCAAGCGCTGAGACGCAAGCGCAAACCAAATGAGTGCTGCGCGCATGCGCAGAAACACGCAAAACGCACGGCGCATGCCCGGAAACCCCGTGTCACCGCGCATGCGTATTTCAACTTCTGGCGCTTTCCGACGTACTTAAATGCGCATGCGCGCCAAGCATTATTGCTGCTATGACCCTTTATCTGCTTAGCTAGTAATGTAGTCAGTATTGTTACATTTACGTTCATTGTCTTTTTTTTTTTTATTTGTTGGGTATAAAAATGTAAAAAAATATAATGTAAAGAATCTGTAGTAATTTAAATATAACTAAAATAGCATAATTAGTATGACTTCGTACAAAATGCTTGCTATGTATAATAATGAGCAGAGAGAGTTGCTGAAGGAAGAAAAAGATTTGAGAGGTAATCCAAAATAAAAATAAACTCCCTGCGCAGTTACACAATTTTTCCTCATGGCGCTTTTTCCTTTAGTTCTTCCAACCCCCCATTCCTTCTTCCAAACTAGCTCTGTCCCTGGTGTTGGGAGGACAGGGGAAAAGGGTAGCGCATGGTAAGCACTGCTGCAGTTTGATTCATTTCAGGGTATTAAAGGGACACTATAGTCACCTGAACTACTTCCACTTAATGAGGTTGTTCAGGTGAGAACAGTAGCTCCCTGCAGCCTTTCTCATGTAAACACTGTATTTTCTGAGATAATACAGTGTTTACATTGAAAGCTAGGAACACCTCCAGTTGCAGTCACTCAGAATGCCCAGAGGGACTTCGGAGTTGATGGAGGCATAATATATCTCCATCCACTCAGATCTGCTGTCAGCAGAGCACAGGACAGCACTGTGCACAGCATCCTGTGATTCAGTATCTCCTCCCTCTGCATGCAGACACTGAACTTTCCTCATAGAGATTCATTGATTCAATTCATCTCTATGAGGAGATGCTGATTGGCCAGGGTTGTCTTTGAATCATGCTGACTCTGCCCCTAATCTGCCTCTTTGTCAGTCTCAGCCAATCCTATGGGTAGCACTGTGATTGGATCAGGCTATCACATGTCAGCAGACTTCTTGTTTTTCCTAAATCTAACAGCATGCAGATTTACAGCTACTGGCTTGAATACAGTAAGATTGTTACTATATTTATGGAGGCATGAGGGCCCAGGGGAGCTAGATGGTCGTGTTCACACTATAGGGTCAGGAATACATGTAGTTGCACTGGTGACTATAGTGTCCCTTTAAAGCCCATATACAAGTGCTTCACTAACCCACAGTGTACATATTGGCATCAAGTGTTTGGTGTGCATGCGCAGCCGGAGTTACACCTCCAGCAGCAGAGCGTTATTCTCCATATATATGGAATAAGCTTTTCATAGTGAACCAATGCCTACAGACTCCAGGAACCACAACCACTATAAATCACTGAAGTAACACTTGGAGTAACACTTTAAATTCACTTTGCATTTTTAACAATTCACGTGTCAACACGCATGAAAGAGGGAACCCACAAACGGTGGATCCGAAAGACGTATTACCAAGCCTTAAGAATGGCCGGACTTAACGTATTAAAACAACAAGAAACCGGGACAAGATAGATCAAGGTTAGGATTACATAAATACTCAGAGCCAAGACAAAGCCGGGTCAGGATACCAGAAATCAATAGTCAAATACGAAGCCGAGGTCAGGATACCAGAAATCCCAGTTCAAAGTCGAAGCTGAGGTCAAACACAGGAAATCACAAGGAAATCTTTAGGAGCACTAAACTAGGATCTAACAGAAACCACGGTAGGGCAAAGAATGGAGGCTAAAACAAGCCTTGAATAGGCTCAAAAGAGTTCTCATTGGTCCACATCATCTCTGCGAGCCCAAATAGCATTGGGTCGTCTAGATGACGAGGTCCCTTTAAGGTAATGACATCATGGCTTCATATTTTATTTTTAGGGGTTGCAGTTCGTCCTGCGAACCAGCAGAGGAAGCCGTTCGCGAGACGGAAGGTAAGCATTCTATTCAGGCCGCGCGGCTAGAATGCTCCACTGAGGGCAGCCACCCGCATGACTCGAGGAGAGGAGAGGCGCGGGTGCCGGATAAAGTTAAGTTTGTGACATCACGCTTTTGTGGGTAACCTTAGTTCATGTAGACGTAGAGCAAAATTTGAAATGGCTGAGAAGTTGACAGTAGGTAATGAAGTTAGTTGAAAGTGGCAAAGACATGTTTGTGGTTGAATGGTGCACAAGTTTTTGCAAAAAGAGAAAGAGTTGGAGTTTGAAGGAATTCTTCTTATAGTTGGATTTCCTAAGCAGAATATTTTCAGTACTCAGTATTTTAAATGTACTGTGTTCATTTTGAGTGCTTGGGATACAGGCTTTGTTGAACAGAGTGCCAGTTTTTGCTTTGGGACTCAAAGAGCTTGTAGAGGTTTTATTCCATTACATCGTACGGCTCCTGGCAGCTGGTGATGTCTCTCCAAACCCTGGTCCCTCCTCTATTAACCCACCTGGTGCTAACACCAGAAACCACAACAATCTCATATCCATTCCATTTAACTCTCACTATAATTTCTCCTTTAAAGCTGCCCTCTGAAATGTACGCTCTGTGTGCAGCACCGTTAAATCAACTTCCATCCATGACCTATTTATCTTACACTCACTAAACCTACTTGCACTAACAGAAACTGATACCGCTACCCCTGCCTCACTGTCCTTTGGTGGTCTTCACTTTACCCACAACCCAAGACAGGCTGAGAGTAAAGGTGGTGGTGTAGGATTTCTGCTTTCACCCCACTGCTCCTTTGAAACTCTGCCCATCCCGCCTTCCCTATGTTTCTCCAGCTTTGAAATTCACTCAATTCGTCTGTTCAAACCCATCTCTGCTAACATAGCTGTTATCTATTGCCCCCCTGTCTCCCCTAGTCTGTTCCTTGACCATTTTTTTGCTTGGCTTCCCTACTTCCTTTCAAGTAATATCCCTTTCCTAATTCTCAGGGATTTCAACATTCCGATTGACCCACCCCTGACCTCAGTAGCTTCCAAACTCTTTTCTATTACCTCCTCCCTTGGCCTATCACAGTAGGATAATACTCCCACACATGTAGCTGGCAATACCCTCAATCTTAATTTTTCTAATGCATGCAGTATCCATCCAACAGCCTCACCCTAACCCTCCTCAACTCAGAAGGGACCTGAATTCTCTTGATCTCTAGCAAGTCTCAGCTGATCTCAATTCCAAACTCTTATCCTCATATAATGCTACTCTCACCTCTGCCCTGGACACTGCAGCCGTGCTCCAAAGATGCACCTCAAGGAAGTCGCGCCTCCAACCTTGGCACACTAAGTCGACTACCTGCATAGATGCTCCCGTTCAGCTGAACATTGCTGGAGGAAGTCCTGCACCTTGTCAGACTTCCTCCATTATAAATTAATTTTGTGTTCATATAGCACAGCCCTCACCCTCGCTAAACAATCCTACTTTTCTTCTCTTGTTGTTACATAGTTACATAGTTACACAGCTGAAAAGAGACTTGCGTCCATCAAGTTCTGTCTTCCTCACATATGTTTTTGCTGTTGATCCAAAGAAGGCAAAAAACCTAGTCTGAAGAACTTCCAATTTTGCAACAAACTAGGAAAAAATTCCTTCTTGACCCCAAAATAGCAGTTAGATGTCTCCTTGGATCAAGCAGCTATTACCCCACTTATTAGAAATTATATCCCTGTATGTTATGTTTTTGCAAGTATTTATCCAATTGCAGTTTAAACATCTGTATAGACTCTGACAAAACCACCTCTTCAGGCAGAGAATTCCATATCCTTATTGCTCTTACTGTAAAATACCCCTTTCTTTGCCTTAGATGAAATCTCCTTTCTTCCAGCCTAAATGTGTGACCTCGTGTCCTATGTATAGCCCTGTTTATGAATAGATTTCCAGATAAAGGTTTGTACTGGCCCCCGAATATATTTGTATAATGTTATCATATCCCCTCTCAGGCGCCGTTTTTCCAAACTAAACAGATTAAATTTTTTTTAACCTTTCTTGGTAACTAAAATGCTCCATTCAATTTATCAATTTTCTAGCTCATCTCTGCACTTTTTCTAGTGCCATGATATCTTTCTTTAGAACAGGTGCCCACAGTTGCACAGCATATTCAAGGTGTGGTCTTACCAGCGATTTATAAAGGGGCAAAATTATATTTTCATCCCGATAATTTATGCCCCTATTTATACATGACAAAACCTTACTGGCCTTAGCAACTGCAGATTAACATTGCATATGGCTGTTTAATTTGTTGTCTTTAACAATTTAATTTGGTAGTTCATGCTCAGGCGTCTCTTTAATACCTTCAACTCTCTCCTTTGCCCACTTCAAGCCACCACTCAAACTGACCTACCAGCACATAGCCCTGCATGCTAATTTACCAGCAAGATTGAACAGTTAAGGAAAGAATTCTCCCCCCTTTGCTCGTCCAACTCGCAACCACACATGGACCGTACCTTCCCTACCCTACAGGCCTTCACCCCAGCTACAGAACAAGAGGTGGCTTCACTTCTCCTTTCGTCCCACAACCTGTCTGCTTGATCCAGTAACTTTCCACCTTATTGGATCTTTCTCCCCTTGTCTTGTACCATCCTTAACACACATCCTAAATTGCTCTCTTTCATCTGGTGTTGTCCCTGCTCCCCTGAAGCATGCTGTTGTACCCATCCTAAAAAAGCCATCCCTAGACCCGTCTTCCCCTTCCAACTATTGCCCCATATCCCTGCTTCCTTTTTCCTCAAAGGCTTTTGTCAAAAACAATGTTTAGTTGATAAGCCAGAAAGATTATGGACTTTAGAACTAATATATGCAGTCATTCAAATTTTGAGTTTTCAATAAGCACCAATGGCGAAGGGATTATCACATACCACGCCCATAATGACAGCCTTAAAAGAACTAGACAGCTGAACTGTGACGTGATCTGAGGAAGCCGCCCAGGCAAAACGCGTCATTACGTCCTTGTACACATGACGTCATCACGCTATCACGTGACTGTA